ATTGAAAGAACATCTTGTGAATGCATGCCAAAGAGTTTGTGTGACCACTGATACATGGACTTCTCTACAGAGGTTAAATTATATGTGTGTGACTGCGCATTTTGTTGATAATGATTGGAAATTGCAAAAAAGGATTATTAGTTTTTGTACAATTTCTAGCCATAAAGGTGATGCTATTGTTCTTGCACTTACAATGTGTTTGGATGATTGGGGCTTATTGGATAAATTATATACTATTACTGTTGATAATGCTGGGAGCAATAGTACTGCATGTACTGCTCTTGTTGAAGATTTCAAAAGAACTCAAGATCATCTCTTCTCAAATGGAGATTTTTTGCATGTTAGATGTGTTGCCCATATTCTTAATTTGGTGGTGTGGGATGGTTTGAAAGTAGTGGGGAAGTCAGTGAGTCGCATTCGAGCTGCGGTAAAGTTTATTAGACAATCACCAAGTAGAGAGGCAAGATTTTATGAATGTGCACTTGCTGAAAAAATTGAGTGTAAAGCATCTTTATGTTTAGATACTCCCACAAGATGGAAATCTACTTATAAAATGCTCAATGTTGCACAGAAGTATGAAAATGCTTTTTTGAAGTATGCCAAGATTGATCCCTACTTTGTTATTGATTTCTCAAAGGATAAAGTTGATAAAGTAGATAGACCTCCTAATGCTAAAGATTGGGTTCAAGCTAAACATTTGATGGTTTTTTTGGAGGCTTTCTATAATGCTACTTTACATTTGTCTGGTACTTCCTATGTGACATCTAGCTTGCTCTTTTTTGAGATTGTGGCTATATATAAGATGTTGCAAAATCTTGAAGATATTGATGAGGTGATTGATGTTCAAGATATAGAGATTGGTGTAGAGGGTGAAGAAGATGAAGTTATGGTGAAAAACTTCAAAGAAATGGCTAACCGTATGAAGTTGAAATTTGAAAAATATTATGGGAGGCCAGAGAAGTTGAACACCTTGGTGTATATTGATCCTATTTTTGATCCTAGATATAAGTTGGAGGGTTTAGAAATATGTGTGTGTGACCTATTTGGGGCAACAAGTGGTGATAGCATTATGGAAAAAGTGAAGGGGAGTGTTGAGACACTATTTGATGAGTATTGGCAACTTTATAAGCCATCTCAAGCTCAAAGCGGGCAGAGTAGTGAGATTCTCAATGAATTGGAAAATGCTACATCTATGTCAGGTCAAACATATGCTCAACAGTTACAGAAAAGGTTGAAAGGGACACAAAGGGCAAGAGGAACAGAGCTGCAAAAATATTTGAATGAGGGACTTGAAGAAGATTCGGAAGTGGGGGATGATTTGTTAGGTTGGTGGTGTGTCCACGGTCCTCGATATCCTGTGCTTGCTCGTATGACACGTGATATTTTGGTTGTGCCTGTTTCTACCGTAGCATCAGAGTCTGCATTCAGTACAAGAGGACGTCATCTTGATGCATTCCGAACATCTTTAACTCCAAATGTCAACTCTTTACCTTAACTACTTAAACTTTCTCTTGTATTTATATATTTTTTTTGACTTTTTTTTAAAGATGGTACAAGCTTTGATATGTTCTCAAGATTGGCTAAAGACATCTAAGAAGATTGACATGGAAGAAACACTCGATGAGTTAAAATCAGTTGAAAAAGGTAACAATTACAATTAGTACTTTAGCATATTGTTTTTATTTTTCAAATGCATTTCTTTGGCTTAAGCTTATGAGTTATGACCTATCCTTTTTACCAAAATCACTTGGATATTTGTTTTACTAGATATGGCAAACTCGAGTGTTCATGATTGTGTTGTGGATACCGCTGATGTTTTAAGGCTTTGATGTGCGGTAGCGGGTAAGATTAAACTTGATTCCATATTACTTTGAAATTTTTTGTGTTAAATTTATTTATAAAATTGCATGAATTCATTGCTAAAAATATATAAATATATTTTTTTTGCATATTCAAGGGCTCAAGAATATTGGAACTCGGAAGTCTTGCCTTCTTGGGAGTGTGGACTTTGGTTCAACATCAAGATTTCATGAATTATTATATTATAAATATTTGACAATATACATTTATGGTTTTTGCGTTATCTATTGGAGTTGGTGTGAAATTTTAACTTACATATTCTAATTTGCTTTGAGTTAAAACCTATGAATTGTGATTGGATATTTGAATGTGGTTGTTTGTTCGTATTGACTATTGATTATGGGACTTTTTGGGATATTGAAGTATGTTGTTTGGAGCATTGGAGTAATGGATTATATTGTTTTTCTCAATTTTATTAAATTCCAAAGAAACTGCCATTCTTCCCTTATTCGGTCCTTATTCGGACCGGTCCAATTTTTTTCGGACCGGGACCCGGTCTTACACTTTATCGGTCCGGTCCCCGGTCCATTAGTTTGCCCTTATTCGGTCCCGGTCCCGGTCCGGGTCGGTCCGGCTTTGGACCGATGCACAGCCCTATTTCCAGCAATTCTTTTTCCTTGATTAAAGCTCTGTCCTTTGTTAGGTTTTGGATATCCATGGATTTTGAAACATCTCTCAATAGTATGTCCATAAACCTTGCAATTCTGGCAAAAGAACTTGGACTTTTTCCCACTGGGAGTGATTCCAAAAACTGGTTTGTTATAGGCAGGTGAAATAGGAATTGAAGCCAAAGCACTTGATTCAGACACCAAAGGAATTGTGTTGGTGAGAACTCTCTGTGTTTCCTCTTGTGTGATCAACTTGTAGGCTTGGTTCAAATTAGGGAGAGGCTTCATCATCAGAATGTTCCCACGAGCAGTTTTAAAATTGTCATTGAGTCCCATTAAGAATTGCATCAGGTGTCGATCTTGAAGTAATTTAGAATAGCTTCCAGCTCCATCACATTTGCAATGAGGTAAAGACACCATAGCCAGGTAATTGTCATACAGACTCTTCAACTTAGTGAAATATTCACTAACAGAATCTGAACCTTGAACCAAAGTCACCATTTCTTTAGATTGACTGAAACACTCAGCAAGATCCTCCCAAATTTCATGCGCAGATTCATAATACAAGATGCTGTTAGCAATTGCAGGCTCAACTGAGTGTAAAATCCAAGAGATTACCAGATTGTTGCAACGAGTCCACTGATTGAATAAAGGAGAAGTCGACTCTGGTGTCTGCGAGCTTCCATCCACAAAACCTAGCTTGTTTCGCGCACTCAATCCAATTTCAGCTGATCATTTCCATTGAGAAAAGTTCTCTCCATTCCATTTTTGAGAAGCAAGCGAGAATTTAGGTGTTTCAGTAGGATGCAAATACAATTCGCTTTGCATATCAATCTGAACACGTGATGACGAGTTTTGATCTCCCATTTTCAAAGAGTTATGCAATGTCGAGCAACGAAATGAGGTGTTGCAGCTCTTGATCAATCTATAATGGATTCAGAGGTTTGCAGAAGCATGATCGCCATTAATGGAGGGCTCTGATACCATGTTGAAGCTACTCAATTAAAAAACAGAGAGAATAAAGAAGAAGAAGAAGGATCTTTTCATTCATTCATCTTGCGCAGTAAACAAAAGTATAACAACCAAGTCTTATATACTGGCGAGGCAATCAACAAACTAACTAACAGAAAATTAACTAAAAGCCTATAAACGTGGAGCAAACAGTTGGGATAGCTGGCGGTTGAAGATTGGGACAGCTGGCAATTGAAGCTTGACTCTTCACATAAAGAAGAAATGAATCTTGACTACTTATAATGCTTGTTTTATAAGCTTTATAAAGGAAAGATCAATTTTGAGAACCTCTCGACAATAGAAGTGTAACATACCACACTCTTTGACCAGTTTTCTTCAACGAAAACACGCAGTGAATCCTTATCATACTTCTCTTCGTATCCCGATGCTAGTTCTGAACATTTGAGTCCAGTAATCAAGGAAAATTTCATTAGAGAGTATCTAATGGGAACTTCATTTACTACAAACCACATTTCAGAACTTTTTTCTCCTCCACATTAGCCTCCCTAACCATCAACTGCCATAACATGGCTGGAGGGGGAACAAGTTGGACATCAAGAAAAGGACCAAAAGGAGAATCTCTCCTAAACACTTCTGCGATTTCCATATGATCGCATAACTTTTCTTTCATCAATTTTTAGAAGTCCTGCAGTGAAGACTTCACAGTCAGCTTCATATGTGGAAAGTCCTTTGAATTTACCTTGATCTTTATCGCCGGAACCTATATAACTGCATATAATGTCAATGAATTTCATACGGAATGACATGCAATTAGTGCGACTAGTTGGTCGACACTTATTTTAGTCGATCGATGGAGTCGACCCGACAAAGAATTCATAAACCATTGTCCAGTGTTTATTTGGAGAGAGAATAATTCATTCATAATCAAGTTTCTGACCTCGAATGTTCCTTGTGTGGCCTTTGGGCTTCCGCTGTGCTCTGTCATCGTCTCTTCCGCATGACACTCATCGTTTCCATTCTTGGAGTAAGACACAGAAGCATTCTTCGTCCTCATTATAGAAATTCAAGGTTTTTGCAGGTGTCGAAGAGGGAGGATAGAGTAGAGCACACACAGATCAAAAACTCAATGGTTACACGATGAAGGAATATGTTTTTGGAGGGTTTTTGTTTAGTCTCTTCCGACGTCGTTTCGCTCATTCTCGGATTTTTAATTTAAATTTAAACTTGAAACGCGGTTTACGCCGTTTATTATCAAGAAAATCATTGCAATTTGCAATAGCTTGTGGATGGGATGGGAGGGGATGGCGGGCACGGTCACGGTCCCGAGATGGCGTATCCGGCTCCACACCCACTCGCCTAATAATACCGATCGCCGTCCCATTGTGTAGGCTGCACGAGATTTTTGCTACACGAGATTTTACCTCTCTACCCGTGAGGGGCAGTAAATTCCGAGTTACTTCTTGATTCGAAGTAAAAAAAAAAGGTTTACTACCAGTATTATTTATTCCAACGCGGAACACCTGTGGACATATAAAAAGTTAATCGTTCAAAGCCGTGAAATTAAAATTGGCGAGCCAAAAAAAAAAGAAAAAGGAAAAAGCGATATCCATAGAGAGAGAGAGAGAGAGAGAAAGGAGCTCTGAATTTACAGTGACGACATTAATGGCGGATGTAACAAGGCGGAGGAGAAGAGGCGTTTTCGGAGTATCGATATGCGGCGCCGCCGAGGAAATGGAGCAACTGTCGATCGACGGCAGCCAATTCAGCCTCACCACCGGAATCCTCCCCTCTCTCGGTGCTCCGAGCGGCCGCCGCCTCCAGCTCCGCCGCTTCATCGTCTCCCCCTACGACCGCCGCTACAGGTTCCGATCCTCTCTTCTCCATCTCCGCCCCTTCCCCTTCCCTTCCCCCCCCTGTACCGCCGTAGTCCCTGTTTGGACACGTCTGCATATCCGAAATTTTCGCAACTAATTCGGCGGTGGTCACTTTTTTTGTTGTTGAAGAAAGGCGGTTGTCACTTTGTCTTCTAGACACGTATCAAGAGCTATTCTATATCTAATGAATTAATGAAAATAAACTTTTTTTTAAGATAAGAAATACAACTTAATATGAACGGAATATATTGCTAATGGAATTAAAAGAGTCATTATTGGGAACATTTTAGTTTGGAGAAAATCAAAATCAAACATTGAAGTCTATAGAAATGATACTCATCGGTATTTGATTAGGACTCAAAACATACTCCCTAATCTATATACCAAAGTAATATTTTCAATATTTTTATATTAAAATTTGCTTGGTGAGGTTAATATTTTATAATGACAACTACTAATAATGTTAAAATAAATATAATGTAAAAACCATGTTAAATGTCAATCACATAAATTTTTTAATGCTCATTTTTTTGCCTCTACTTTGTTTAGTTAATACCGTTTGGTTTCCATGACTTTGATTCTCAATGTCATGGGATGACCGGGATGCTTACGGTTCCTTGTTCGAAAAATTGACAGTTCTTACCTTTCCTAACTCTCCAATAAACCGTCTCACACCGGCCCAACAACACGAACCCACACTCCACTCCCTTCAATTGCACATTTGCACCCTACAAAATTTAGTTGACTTTTGAATCAAATTTTGACTCTAAAGTCAACTAAATATTTTGTAGTGCAATCAAAAGGGGGTGGGGTGGGTTCGGGTCGTGTCGAGTAGGTTTACCGGGAAGATTAGGACGAATATGGATCTTCAATTTTTTGAACGAAACACTTTAGGTACTCCAATTAGAGCCCAGGTTATAGTATGACATCGAGACTCAATGCATCAATAGTAAAAAAATCAATAGTCGTCTAACCAAAACAATGTATCTATTTTTATAGTGGTAAGATGGTGTATATGTAAGATTTTGTGTTATGCGGCGCGATCCGGACTTGACCATTGGGCATTACGCTCCATCACGACGCCATCCGGGGCATGACAGCGGGGATGATGTTCATCCTTTTTTTTCAAATAAATAAACTAATAAAATAAGAAATGAATATATTCTATAGAAAAAGTTGCCATTGGTAAGTAATTCGGAGTAACTCCATACCCTCGAAAAGCGGTGCTGCAACAACACGTATTCATATTTGGCAACTTTGGTTGAAATGGAAATCAATAAATCTCGTGGAGATCAATATTTCTATTTCACTAATACACTAAGATATGATAAACACAAACAGACAACAATAACTGTCTATGCAATGTATAGATAGTTGTACATCATGGCCTTGTTTGGAAAGAGCGTTTTCAATTAGCGTTAACGTTTTGGATAAAATATTAACGGGGTTGATTAATTCGGAAAACGCTAACTCTAAAAGCTACCGTTAGATATACTTTTCAAAACGCTAACGCTAATCTCTAACCCTGATGCCAAACGAGGCTCATGACTGATACACACACATACAACAAGGTTTTGTGTATATCTTTAATACACACACTTGGTGTACATGCGGTATACAAATCTTGAGGTCCTTGATTGCATAATTAGTGTAATAACCATCCATGAGGTTTCTCAAATTAGAAAATTTGGGTCAATTCAAAATTGGAGTCCACACAGTCCACTAGATTCGATCTTTGCATTCAAGTGTCATTTTCTTGAATTGTTTTGTGTGTGAGGGGGTAAATACTCGGAGATAAATCTGGTGAACGGACGTCCATTTCTAAATATAAAAAAAAAAAAGAGAATAAAAATCGGGTAGTGCCAAAACGGATAAACTTGCCGAGATTCGAAAGGGCGTAGTCTATTTTGGTCTATCTTGATTTTTTTGTCCTATTCCTTATTACCCGTAATATGATTCATGCAGTTCATGTCAATTTACACTTCACCAATTCTAAAATCCACAACATAATTTTTTTAAGTCACCTAAAAGAAAATTATGTGAATAGAAAAAAACTTGAAAAAAGGTGATGTATGGTTTGTTCTTTTCACCTGATCTAATTAGAATAAATTCTGATTTGATCTGTTTTGATTTGATTGCACTTGTTTTTAAAGCTATTTCTGGTCTGATCTGTTCTGATTCCAATAAGAATAAAGAATAGGGAGTAAATAGCTAGTAAGAATAAGTTGAAGCTTGCACTTAGGGATTATTCTCTTCACCTGGTCTGATATGATTAGAATAAGTTCTGATCTAATCAGATCTGAATATAGTCATATTCAAAATCGTGAATGATCTAATCTGGTTTAATATAATCTGAACAAATTTCAATTTCAATAAGTATACGTAATATAAATAAATTGAAGAGGACAAAATTTTAATGTACGTAGATAGGAAGTAGGAACTACGCATGCAGGATGTTAATTACTGCCCGAAGAAAATTGAAAAGTGTTTCGCACTCTGGTGTTTGGACCGAGTCATAATTATTGATCACTCCTTTTTTTATTACTCCCTAATTGTTTGTTTTGATTTTTCATGTTATACGGTATATAAAATGATAAATGCTAAATCTAAATATGGTTGTTAAATACTTTATTTTCAAAATGTCAACTCTAATTTCTAAAGTAATGAGAAAACATCCACATGGTACGTCTAAAAAACCATAAATAAAGATTATACGGATAAAAAGTGAATTATTTGTTGATAAAACTAAAACCGTTAAAAACAAAAATAGGAAAAATAGGCCTTGTTCTTTTTTTTATTCACCTTAATTTTATTTGAAATTTTAAAACTGGCAACTTTCCTAAAAAACCAAAAAAAAAATGGTAACTGAATTTTAAAATGTATTAACTTGTACATAACTCACATTTGCTCCATAAAATTTGTTGCATATATGAGTAAAGGATAAAACTATCTGTACCCCAAGAGTTTGTATCCTATTTGTACACCGCATGTGTGCACCAACATTTGTGCACCAACATGTGTGCACCGCATGTGTGCACCAACATTTTGTATTGATGTAATGCTAATTTTTGTTAACGCACCAACACGAGTGGATTTAGCTAAATGAGGTTTGAATTTAGCATTACCCTATTTGCTTTGAAAAATAGTTACTCCAGATTTTTAATAAATTTTGCTACTCTATAATACGAAGTACGAGTAGTCCATATTACTCCTTCTATCTCAATTTTGATTATAATTTTTTTCTCTCTTTTTGATAACTTTTGTTTATTTGTGTCTTTTCATTGATTACTTGATAAAATAAATTATTCTTGTCACCTCTTATTTTGTAGAATTTTTAACGTAACTTTTTAATATGTAATTTTTATTTTTTTATTGATATATACCAATTTGTAAATAAAAAAATTTGAAAAGATGGAAGATTTTACGTCGTAAGTTTCAATTTGTAATCATATTTGGAACGGGGAAAGTATTTTTAAGAGATTGTTTTGACGGGAATGCAAATTACTCTCTCCCAAAATAAAAGTTACAAACGCTATTCATCCGCACTTTTTTTCTTTCTTTACTTATTTTTTTAATTATTTATTAAAGTATTTTGGTAATATATCTTTTGTTTTATTTTGTACTCTGTAATTTATATCATTATTTAAATAAATCATTTAAAAATAAATGTAGTTATCATTATTTGAACTTCATTAAAAATAAATGTAGGATTGGAATGAGTATTACTTTTGACTTTTGTAAGTGGAGAGAATCTAGAGATGTTTTCTTCTTTGTTTTTGGGCGGTGAAGTAGAATGGTGGATGGTCTTTATGTTCCGTTGATTAAATAATGACATAATGACGCCCGGCCCACATGATTCTGCATTCTCTCCCTTAGAAAACATAAAACCACTCAATGATGGACTGGAGACTTGATATTGATATTGATAAATTGAATTATAATTTTAGAATTTTTAGTCTAATAGTTTCAAAATGCTCGAATTTCCTCCTAACCCCTCTCCCAAACCCCTCCTAGCCCCTCACCCCCTCCTATCAGTATATTTTACTTCTATTTAGGTTTATTTCTCACTCTTATAATGTCACATTCATTATATTGTCACATTACAAATGTCACACAGTCATCCATCACCGTCAATCGTTGATGTTCACTGGTGCTCCACTGGCAATTGAATTATCACACTGACATATTATACCGTGATCACTCTTTCATCACACTACCAACAATCCTACATCACATTTTTATTGTATTCCTATTTTGGTCTTAAAAAGTTTAGATTTTTTTTGGTATTTTAATACTTTTTTACTATTATGAGAGAAATATTTATTTTTAATTTTTCAACGAGATAAGTTGGGACTTAGCCCGTAGGGCTTAAATTTATATGGAGTAGAAGTTAAAACATTTATTTTAATGTATGGGCTTTTTATGATACCCCGGAGTAAAAAATAAAGAGTGGGTGTGGGTTGAATTATTGAATAGTTCAACTAACTTTTTCAAATAATAATTCGTTTTACACCTTTTTCTCAGATCATTCAAACAACGTGCCTATAGATTTCAACATATTGCACGATAAGTATTTTGTCGAGAAACACATGCCGACTGCCCCATCTGATATTTCGAATTTCAAGTAAAAGTATTAAAAATAAAAACTTTCCAAGGTGGGTAGGGGTCATGATTCATGAATGGGTGGGAAGGTTTACCGAGAGTTAGGGGTATGAATTATGAATTTCGCGAATTGGGCGTCGTAGGTGTTCCAATTGGGATAGTATATGTCTTACGTGTATTTTTTAGTGGGAATAACTGAGTTTTGGGTTTAATACGATACGAGTTATGAAATCTACGAGAAGGAGAAATGATGTAAGTTTCAAAATGTGAAATAAACTGTTTGCAGCAAACTGAAATCATGATTTTTAGTGATAGACATGACTCATGAGTGGTCGGCGGCGATTAGGCGGCAAAGATGGTGGCCGGTGGTGGAAGTAGTCGACAGTCGAAAAAGATTTTTTAAACCATGAGATTAATGTCTCCAAATTCGAGATATATGAAAAACTCTCTCATTTAAGAGATATCACATCTAAATTTTGATTTTTTACCAAACACCAAAAAAGACTTTGATATCGGAATTGAATTTGAGAATATGGGAAATGAAATTATTTTGGAGAAACAAAATGTGTGATTGATTGAGGAATATGTGTAAGCCCTTTTTCCTTTGCTCTATCATTGGTTTTTTTTTTACTTTATTTTGTTTTTTAAATCTTTACACACCTGAACCTTTCTTCTCTTTATAATAATGGCTTATTTTTTTAATTTTTTAATTTATGTTTTGGTAACTATCAAGTGCTTTAAAAAAATGATTTGTTTAGTACGATGAGAGTATTTGTTTTGAGAATATTTTGTTATTATATTTTTTATTACCCGTATAACTTTTGCTAATACTCGTAAAGTTTAGATGATATTGTTAATAAAAAATTCGACAAGGAAAATGAAACGGTCAAATTGTATGGAATAGTGATAGGACTACATTAACGGTCCATTGAAAAATGACGACTTTAGGGAGAATGTGCCAAATTTGAGGGTATTTGCTTTTTGAACTTTTAACTTTAGTTATCCACGTTCATACTTCAGCATACTAGCGATATGTTCCAGTCTCAGGATTTTGTACGTTTTAAAATAAGTTTTGTTTCCAAGCACCCGTTTGACAACAATTTTAATGTTTAGATTTAGCGTTCTAAAAATGTTATCTAATGAGAGTAGACTTTAAAAAAACTATCCAAAATGCTAACTGGAAATATTGTACCCAAACTAGGCCCAAGTCTCCATAAACAATACAAACATAGCCTTAGCTCTTATTGAAAGAGGTTAAGGGTCTCTAGCCCACTTTTAATCATTTCCTCAAGATTAAGAGCAATGATGTAAGGAACCATTTGTTTCTTTTGACATCTGTTCACCCTACTTCTCTCTTTATTGATAGTAATATTTACCCTTTTTTTTTGCTAATTTTGTGGCTGGATTATTGGTTTTAACTTTTTACCAAGCTATAATGCAGAAACAATCTTGGAACTTTTAATCTTTTTTTGAAGTCTTGGAACTTTTTTCTTAATGTCAAATAGTCTTGGGGATTAACATTTGAAACTTAAAACCGTGGGGGTTAGAGTGAACAATGTTTTTTATCAGCGGTCTACAAAAGTTAAGATACTTTGTTTGCAAAAGTTCTTACCTAACAATGTCCAATGAAGTAATTGAGTTGTTAACAAAATGATTTGTAAATAACACCAGTCAAACATCATAAACCGTTCCGTCAAGAATCAAATGGGACGGAGGAAATACTTTTTACTTTTGGTGCACTCAACTATGGACCCCTTGTGATTTTTGGCCCTTACAACCACTTGTTTGCGCGATTTCATTACAATTTTCCATTGATTTTCGCCCGATACGTGACCAAAAGGGACCAAAAGTTGCTAAAAATTTATAGTCATGCCTATAAGTTAAACAACGAAAGTTTGTGAACAAAAGCGTCATCTACTCTCGTTTTTTCACATTTTGGTGCATGGCTATGGATTGGCGGTCACTTTTGGTCTTTTCCCCTCCAATGTTGGTACGATTTTCCGGTGACAATTGACCAGAAACTTAACTAAGAAAAACCAAACATTTTAACAAATCCATATTTGTATATATGCGTAACAATATATAACAACAACATATCCAGTATAATTCCAACACTGATGGAGTCCTAGGGGTCAAAAAGTATGCAATCTATTTTGATTGCACTAATAAGTCACATACTGTTTTTTAGTCATATTTCATATTTCATATTCTTCTTTTTTCATATTATGGCGTGTTTATAGTATTTTTTTAACTATGTGTATTTGAAATTTCGATTAGCTTTAGAGAACATACTCCGGGGTATATGTTTATGTTTGTATCAGTGTTACTAAGGTATACCAATCTTGATTTCTTATGTGTTGTTGCCTAGGTTGCCCAGAGGCCGCCCAAAGCCCGTTTTTCCCGTTCAATAGCTCAGGCCCCAAAAAATGTGGGGCCCCATTTTAAAAAAATAATAAGTAGAGTTGGGCAAAAAAATCTTAAAAAATTACAGCAGTTCACATTTAAGCCTCGGTGACTTGCATATTCACACAGCCTAGGAAGGGACACCACATGTTCGATGAAATGTTCAAGTGAACTCCATGTTTGGCTCATCCAGTTTTGATGCTTCTTTGGACATTCAGGAGCATCCTAGTATCACCCAATGTCTTCCTAGAGTTTTGAATAATGCTAAGTTGCTCTCATGTCAAACCTCTAATAAGTTTTACCCACAAGGTTTTTATTGTTAAATTTTGGTTAAATTTTTTTGGACTCAACCAATTCATGTTTATTTTGGTTAATGAAATATTGAAATATGACAGGGAAGGACCAATTCTATTTTTGTTTGTGTTATAAATCATGTGAAAAATAATATTAAAAAAATTGAATATGCATGGGGTGTTGACTTGTAAATACCTATCTGGTTATAAGAAACGTCAAAAAAAAAAATGATTAATGACTTTGCATCTAAATATGCTACGCAAATGTTTCTATTAAAATGAAACTTTTGTCAATGTTTATATGAATATTTTTATTATGATGGCATGTTTCAATATATACGAAGCATATTTTTTTATTTTTGACTTATATTCTAATTTCACTATTAGATACATGGCCCTAACATTTTCAATTGCACATGGCCCAATATATGATTGGGCCGACACTAAGGTTGCCTAATTGTCGCCTAGGGGGCCGCCTAGTCGTCATGGCATCATGGCGGTTCACAACTATGTAATACGGAGTATATGATTTCATTTCCTTAATATAAACTAACTCATCACTCTAAATGTGAACATTTTCAGGATATGGGAAGCCTTTCTGGTTATTCTGGTAATCTACACTGCTTGGGCATCTCCTTTTGAGTTCGGTTTTCTCAGAAAACCAGGAGGCCCACTGTCCATTCTTGACAACATTGTGAATGGATTCTTTGCAATAGACATCGTTCTCACCTTCTTTGTAGCCTACCTGGATAGGGCCACATACCTTCTTGTTGATGACCGAAAACGGATTGCTTGGAAGTACGCGAGCACTTGGTTAGCATTTGATGTCATATCCACAATCCCTTCGGAGGTTGCCAGGAAAATCATGCCGAAACCTCTATCATATGGCTTGTTCAATATGCTTCGCCTCTGGCGTCTTCGCAGGGTGGGTGCTTGGTTCGCCAGGCAAGTTTTTTTCTGTCAAGAAACCAACTCAACTAAAAGCTCAAGCTTGTGGTTGAAGACTCGTGAATTTTTTTATACTTTAATGTGTCCCTTCACATGCAGGCGAGGTCTATTTGCTTGAGCCTTGCGCGTACACCCACCCGCAGACTATGTGCGTTGGGATTTTACTGGGTCCATTGGTGTTGTAAGAGATTATGTCCATCATAGCTAATCAACCTTTTTTTATTTGTTTATGCAGATTGGAGAAAGATAGACATGTCAACTATTTTTGGGTTCGTTGTGCAAAGCTTATTTGTGTAAGCAAACTCTACTTCTATCTAGGCATTGTATTTTTTTTGTCATTTTGATAGCAAGGGGTGAAATTAGTGTGGCTAATCTATAAGTTAGTATTATTATCATACAAGAAAATAGATCCCTTCTTAGTTAATTCATGTTTCATTATAATCTAGTGCCACTTCCCTCCAAACCTACTAAATGCAGGAGTAAATTGATGGGAAAAAAATCACCACTCCCCTTCAATCATGTTTAAAAAAAACCATAATTTCATACAAAAAAAAATCAAATCAAATCATTAATTTTTTTCATTAAGTCTTTAAAATAAAGCATTACCAAACAGCTACCCAGGAACCCAATCACCACATTGTTTTGAAACCACAATGTTATACATCTAAAGTCTTTAGATAAGATCCTGCTTTTTCCTACAGGTCACTCTATTTGCTGTGCATTGTGCTGGGTGTTTCTTTTATCTTCTGGCTGCTGATTATCGCGACCCAAAAACGACATGGATAGGGGCATCTATGGAAGATTTCCATCACAAGAGTCTATGGGTTCGCTACGTAACTTCCGTATATTGGTCAATCACAACCCTCACATCTGTTGGGTATGGTGATCTGCACGCTGTTAATACCCGGGAGATGATTTTTGACATTGCCTACATGCTTTTCAACTTGGGACTCACTTCTTACTTGATAGGGAACATGACTAATTTGGTTGTCCATGGTACCAGCAAGACAAGACGATTTGTGAGCATATCTTATCTTATACTCCCTTTGTCCCTAAATGAATTTACTACTTTCCTTTTTAGTTATCCCAAAAAGAAGTTTTCATTCCATATAGGGAAAGAAATTAGTGGTTCACATTCTTTCTCTGTGTATAAACTTCCACCATACAATTTTAATGATGGAGGGAGTAATTAAGCAAGAACTTCTTTTAGGGATGGAGGGAGTAATCATTGATGAATATTAACTCGTTAAGGGCCGTTAGGGTCTTTTTGGATGTCGGGTTTTGGAGGGCTAGTTCTATGTCCAAATATAAATGTATATATTTGAGATTCCTTTGAAATTGAAGAAATACTACCATAGGAGCTGATCAAACATCAAGACTTCATTTGTTTTCAAAAACATCCTAAGTATTCCCCTATGGTCGGTTTGAGATAAAGCTTTTGATGGGCGTAGCAAAAAGGAAATAAATGAAATGTCATATGATCACCTACTATGTTAATTGTGCAAACTAACCTTTATGGTTCTTTTGAATGGGGGTGGATGCTTTGGAAGGTTTTGGGGGATTTAGTCTGTCATGATAATACAAATGGTGTTCCCAAAGGCAAATAAAGAAAATAAAAATCTATTGGAATGTTATATGATAAAAAAGTTATGTTAATGTTTTATTTTTTTTTATGACGACCCCTCTCGTTTATATAACCCATTTACTCAAACAAAACCTATAGGCTTTAGTTTCTTGGTAAGGGTTGCTGCTGAGCAACTCATATTCTTATATATCAGTCTTTTTTAGTCTAAGTGTTCCGTATGGGACTATTATATGCTCAACACTAAGTGAATGTAAAACTTGAATGACAGAGAGACACGATTCAAGCAGCCACAAGTTTTGCCCAAAGAAATCATTTGCCGGTTCGTCTTCAAGAACAGATGCTTGCACATTTGTGTTTGAAGTTCAGAACGGACTCCGAGGGGATCCAGCAGCAAGAGACTCTTGATTCCCTTCCTAAGGCCATCAGGTCAAGCATATCACATTTCCTCTTCTATTCCATGGTTGACAAGGCATATCTTTTCCGGGGAGTGTCAAACGACCTAGTCTTCCAACTGGTAATTAATCAAGTCACGATTGTGAGATTATTTTGTCCGTTTTATGAAGCTTGATTAATGTGAGGTTTACGTTCGTACTTATCATCTTTTTAATATCTTTTCTGTGTACACTACTTTATCAAGGTGTCGGAGATGAAACCGGAGTTCTTTCCTCCCAAGGAGGATGTCATTCTGCAAAATGAAGCTCCAACTGACTTCTATATTCTTGTGACTGGAGCTGTGGTAAATTTTAAATGCTCTTTCCATTTTTTTGTATGATTTGTCGTGTATTTTGCATTTTTTTTCGTTTAAAAAAAATTAAGAGAGCATTTCTAAGGGCACACTTTTAAAAAAATTAGGATGTTTAATAAGCTTCTTAATTACTTAAATTTGTATTAGTAACCAGTTTCTTGATCAACAACAAACCCCGTATTATAAAACCTTTTTTTGAGCTTCTTAAAAAAATCACGATGTTTAATATGATGTTATTCTAAAACCCTTTTTGAGCTACAACCACATGTTTACAAGAGCGTTGTTCACAAGAGAAGTTTACAGCGTCAACTTGATTCTGCCTGATATTTGATCCTAAAACGTCAAATAATGTAGTAAAACAGAGTTAGTACTACATATGTTTGTTGTTGAAATTTGTCTAACTTATGAACTTATTTGGCAGGATCTATTGGTTCTAAAAAACGGAACTGAACAGGCAAGTCTTGTTATGTTCATCTTGTTTTTCCTTTTGTACAACAACAACCTAGTATAATCCCAACCTTGTTGGGGTTTGGGAGTCTAGATGTCTTACCCCTATAAAAACAAAGAGGCTTTTTCTGTTAGACCTTAGCTGCATTGCTGCATTTACTACCCAAAACCTTACAGAAAGTAAGAAGTAATGGATGGAAGTTTAATGTTTCATGTTGATTCAATCCATTATGTGCTTGAAACAAAATGGACAAAATCAAAATGGAACATTTAACTCCCACTGCTTCTAACATTCTGTGTAGTAAATGCAGCTCTCGAGCATATAATCCGCATAAAAAAACTAGGCTAAAAAGGACTAATCCATAAGAATATGAATCACTCCTCCCATTGCCAATTGGTTTTAGTGAAATATTAATATTAAGGGAAAAAAACTGAAGCGGTAAAATGTTAGTGAAATTTTCGGAAACTAGAAACTAAGAGGAACTAACAATTACATTGATAGTGCAGGTGGTGGGGGAGGCAAAAGCGGGCGATCTGTGCGGTGAGATTGGGGTTCTGTGTTACAGGCCCCAGACATTCACAGTACGGACCAAACGTTTGAGTCAGCTTCTACGGTTGAACCGAACCACGTTTCTGAACATCATTCAAGCCAACGTTGGTGATGGAACCATAATCATGAACAATCTCCTTCAGGTCCTTATTTGGATTTTTTCTGCTTATATGAGTAGAATAAACCATCTTTTGACTTATTTGGGTGAATTAGATGTTGCCAAAACAGTCTTTCCTTTGGCAAAATTTAAGTGATATGAGCTGTGTTTTTTCTTTTTTGGTCAATGGGCAGCACTTGAAGGAGATGAACGATCCGATAATGGAAGGAATTCTGATAGAGACAGAAAACATGTTAGCAAGGGGAAGAATGGAGCTGCCCCTCACCCTTTGCTTCGCGACCCTCAGAGGGGACGATTTGCTGTTGAATCACTTGTTGAAGAGGGGGTTAGACCCTAACGAATCCGACAACAATGGCAGAACTGCTCTCGTGCGTTTTCTTTCTCTCTTTTTCTTCGTCTCGTCCGTTTTCTTTGGCTTTCTTTCACTATTTGCCTTATTTTCAAAAACCGAATAAACCAAATGCCCGAACTTGTGGTTTTAGGCTCAAATTTTTTACACTCTAACACATTATTATTATCAGCATATAGCAGCATCCAAAGGACAGGAAAGCTGTGTGGTTCTTCTTCTGGACTTTGGTGCAAATCCCAACCTTAAAGGTACATACATTTCTTCTTGTCTGTCAACATAAAATGAACTTATTTTCCTGACCTTAATTTTCAGAAACCATTTTCTTCCCATTGTTTTGAATGAACCCAGATTTTGGAGGGAGTGTACCATTATGGGAGGCCATTTTGGGAAAACATGAACCGGTCATTAGGCTGCTGTTGGACAACGGTGCAAAAATATCTTCGGGGGATGTAGGCCAATATGCATGTCTAGCAGCAGAGCAGAACAACCTCGAACTCCTCAAAGAAATCGACCGTTGCGGCGGGGACGTAACCCTCCCCCGAACCAACGGGCCCACCACGACGGCCCTCCACGTCGCCGTCTGCGAAGGCAACGTTGAGGTTGTCAGGTACCTCTTGGACCGCGGGGCCGACGCCCGGAAGCCGGACGAGTACGGGTGGACCCCACAAGACCTGGCGGAGCAACAAGGGCACGAGGATATCATCGCGCTTTTCGAGTCCCGGGACGAAGCCGGGGACCGCCGTCCCGCCGCCGCAACCTCCCGAGACCGGCCGCAAGGGGCCCGCTTTCTCGGGAAGTTCAAAAGCGAGCCCACGATGCTCCCGGCCTATGCCGCCAAACAGGGGGACGGGTCGTCCCGGTGGCAGTCCCGCCCCAGGCGGCACCGGACAAACAGCTTCCACAACTCGCTGTTCGGCATAATGTCCGCCGCCCAGCAACAAAACAATGACCAAACTACCCTTTTCCCCGTGAAGGAAACCGCATCGGACGGAAAGCGTTATGCCGCCATGAGGGTGACGGTGAGCTGCCCTGAGAAAGGAGACGCCGCCGGAAAGGTTGTGTTACTGCCTGAGACCTTCCAAGAGCTTCTACAGATTGGGGTCAAGAAGTATGGTTTCTTGCCTTCAAAGATTCTTAGCAAATCAGGAGCAGAAATAGATGACATTGTATTGATCAGAGATGATGATCATTTAGTTTTTGCAAGTGACAATATAACATCATCATGTGTCAAATAACCCTTAAACCCTATTTCTGAGGGGGATATGGTCTACAATCACACACATATTCTCCAAATAAACCCTATGTTTTGTGGAATTTTATGGGGTTTGTTTGTTGTTAATATTGTTGTGTCAAATAACCAAACTATAGTGTGATTTGTTGATAAGCCAATGAAGATTGGATGTATAGTAAAAATGAAAAGGGAAATTTACGCAAATGAAATTTAAACATATCACTTTCCCTAAATAAGACATGTCCGTTTTGCAATAGAACGTTCTAAAATGTCCTACCTTTGAGAAAAATGATCAATTACACGATTTATATTCATGCACAGATAACAAGCGTGCGCAGGGCTGGGGGAGAATCCGAGGAAGAGAGCGCGGCAGGCGGATCGGAGCTGCCGGAGGCGAGTCGACTTGGAGGAGATCCCATCTCAAAAAAAACTTAAATCGCTGACTTTAGAAAATATTTAAAAATAAAAAGAACTTATTAGATTTTTTTAGTCACATGTACACAATTTAAAAATGTGTTCTTAAAAAGTACTCCGTATTAGAAAACCACTTTAGAAAATATTGCGCTTAAAATTATTAGTACTTAGTATAAATTACTCCGTACGTATTAGTACATATTAAATTACGTATTAATTATTTACATGGTCAAAAGTTATTAGTATTTACTTTTTTCATCTTTTATTTTAAATAGTTTGTAATGTATAGCTTCTTAATATATAAATTTTATTATTTAACTGTGATCTAACTCCTAAATAAATTATATTAAAAATAAATTCAGTCAAACATCGTCAACCCAAGAACTTGATTAAAATTAGGATGGAAGGAGAAATATTGTGTCAAATAACCAAACTACGGTGTGCTTTGTTGATAAGCCAATTACGATTTGATGTATAGTAAAATTGAATTCTCCCTAAACTATGGTGTGTTGATCATATAGTGGGGTATTAACTTTCTGTACTTCAATAGGTCGGAATATCCTATATATGTATAAACACATACTCCCTCCGTCCCCAATTTGATTACAAATTGCGGGTTACGGAGTAAAATTTTCTACTTTTTGAAATTATTTTATTTACAAATTGGTATATTAATAAGATATAAAAATTACATATTAAAAAACTACGTCAAAAGTTCTACAAAATAAGAAGTGACATGAATATTTTATTTTACCAAATAATTAATGAAATCGCGTAAACAAAGAAAAGTTATCGAGAGGAGAGAAAAAAATTGCAATCTAATAATGCAAAAAAATTATGTATTGATCCCAAAATAACCCCCTGGACATTTGAGGTAAGACCATTTATGTTAAACATAGCTTGTCCAAGTTATTAATCCTTGGGTCTCTATGTGCTCTGCATATGTTTCATACTCCGTAATATTTGTTCACAGTTTGACTTTTGTATTTGAGATTTGTAATTACAACCAATAAAGCCCGATAATTGTTGTATTCCAATTGACTACTACATTGGTTCTACCATATCCATATGCAAATAAATGCTCCACTATCCATGATTCGATTCCTGACAACAATAATGAAAGATAATAACGCAAAAAAATAACACGAAACCCTTGCACGTATTAGGGACAAATCTTTTACTTTTAGAGAGAAGATTCATCCTTTCTCTTTTTAGACATTGTTCCCCAAAAAAAAAGATGGCAAAAGAGAATGTCTCAAATTTATCCTTGCATAAGCTCATTAAAATTTTTACATGAGTTAAAGAGAGAAAAAGCAATCACAAATACAACACAGAGTTGGTGCCTGTCATATTGTTGAGAATCCAAAGAGGAAATTTCAAACTCCATAAAACTGACCAGAAAATCACAAGATGAAGGGATTTCGGGGGGCGTATTACTTCCACAGCTTGCGCAGAGACATGTTTTTCTCCGTGTCTTTCTTCATCACCTTGGCAACAGCCATCTCAAAATCTTCTTGCGTCACGTGGACCCTCCTTTCCCTCAGAGCAAACATCCCTGCTTCTGTGCACACAGCCTGCAGGCATACAATGCAATTTTAATCCATTACTGCAAATTCAGTAAATCATCATCAATAAGGCATGAACTATGAGATAGGGTGTGTTTGGAAACTTTGGATTGGACTCTTGACAAAAGTTATTTTGCCAAAGGTTGTTCCTGAGATGTGATTTTGAAATGAATCCAAGTAAGGTCTGTTTGGCAATTTCGGATTTAACTCTTGACAATAGTACTTCTGCCAAAGGTTGTGTTGTGATTCTGAAATGAATTGATAACTAGAAGTTTCAAATTTTCAGCTACTATGTTCCATTTTTTTAAGAATCTGAATCGAAACAGACACTATGTAACCATCTTAATCTTTCCTTCTTATCATTGTTTTCCAAACGCTAACTGTCACCCAGAGTACATTTGAAAACATGTTGAATGGACAAAAAATGTGCTTTAAAATGGTGCAAAAAAGTATTCTTTTCTAAAATGGACAAAAGTGAGGTCTAACTAAACTTAATATTTTCTTCGTATCTTTTTTTGTCAAACACTAACTAGTATCCAGAGTATATTTGAGAACTTGCTAAATTCTCTAAAAAGAGCTTAAAATGGTGCAAAAAGTATTTTTTCTTAAGCGGTTGATGTACATGATATGACACTTCTAGCCCCTTAATTTCTTTAAGTTTAAGTAAAGATTTGTCTGTATAATTAAAAGTAGTACATAGAGGCCGAAATTTCAGCAAGCTCGCTGCTCGCCTCCTTCAATCAGATTTACTCTCTTTCCAAACAGGCTAATAATACCTATGTTTCAAAAAAACCAAGAAAGTAGAGAGCTGGGACCTTGTGCACCATAGGAAAGAAATGGCCCAATTATGGTCAAAAGTTGAGGCAACTCACCTTAAGTTCAGCTCCTGAAGCACCATTCATTTTCTCTGCGATCTTCTTTAAGTCGATGCCACGCATCAAGTTCATTTTCCTTGAATGAATCTTGAGGATATCCCAGCGAGACTAGAGATGTCACATCAAAATTAATGAGCCAGCAAGAAAAGAAGAATCAATGCTATTCATTTAGTCTTTTAAAGCAAAAAAAATTGATAAAAAATAAAGCCTACTATTCCAATTCCCCAACCCCAACTCCCCACATCTGAAGAAATTAAGAAGTAAAAAGAGAATCATTTTTAAATGATAAGCAATTGTACAATCTCATACCTCTTCATTCGGATTTGGAAACTCAATTTTTCGATCAATTCTACCTGGGCGGAGAAGTGCTTGATCAAGAATATCTATACGGTTTGTAGCCATCAATACCTGAAGAGCATAACTTCAGATGTTACAGCCCAAAAGACCATAAAATTCAAGAGATTTATATTCATGTTTAACTGAGTGCTTAAAACTTGCCTTAATCTTGTTTGATGCTTCAAATCCATCGAGCTGGTTAAGAAGCTCCAACATTGTGCGCTGCACCTCACTGTCACCATTGCCACTCCCTGATTCCATTCTAGCAGATCCGATGCTATCTATTTCGTCCATAAATATAATAGATGGAGCGTGCTCTCTGTCATCCAACAAAAGAGCCTTAGTTTAAATGATGGTAGGATAAGCAAAGCAAAAGAACAGCTAATTTGTGAGAGATGCCTGAAGAAATGCATACAAACTTCTCCTCCAAACCATTAAAGGTTAGGTAGTACTGCACTCAAATAATTACAACAGATAGCCCATAATAAGAAATACCAACAGGTTCCATACCATGTTCTCTTTCAATGCCAAGAACAAAGCACATCTAGCATTGTTTCACAAGCTTTATAAAATTTATTTCATGTATGCTTTTTCTTTGTGAGTCAACAAACTAACAAGCAGAAATTCATCAAGTTTTTCATCACATGTGACAAAGCCTCTCATAAATGAACAATTGAACCCAAAGTAAACAAAGAGTAAATGTTCATTTGGAACTCAGAAAAGGCCAGGGCACTTTTGATATCTATCCACACTCATTTTCTATATTCATTACTTCGTACTATATTATAATCCCTTGTAAAGAAGTTACCTGTTTGATTTAACAAAGTTAAAGAAAAGTGAAAAGTGGGTGGTAAGAATTTGTTGTGAGCTTCATATTCATTTTTTTAAGAAAAGGTAGAAGTGTGAACCTTTTTCTGTGAGATGGAGGGAGTAAGTATTAAGAAAATAAAAACATATTCATTTTCCTTCACATTTTTCCAAGCCAAATCAAACACAAGAAAATGACTTTCCTAGACATATTTTTTTCCCTGGCATTTTCTGGGGTCCAAATATAATCTAAAGAAAATACATTCCCAAAATCCAAGCTTGGAAGGAAAACGTCATTAATACTCTGCATTTTATAATACTGCTTGATGCATGGAACATGCTTCTTATATCTTAATGAAACTTCCAAATTTCTTTCTCAGTTCCGAGTTTGAGTGATCAATATCCAACTGTATCATAAAGGAGCTAAGAGTAAAGAGCAAACCTTGCCATAACAAAAAGTTCTCTCACCATACGAGAGCCTTCACCGATATATTTCTGCACTAGTTCAGAACCAGAAACCCTAATGAAGGTACAATCAGTATGATGTGCAACTGCTCTAGCCAACAGTGTTTTTCCTGTTCCTGGAGGCCCATATAGCAACACTCCCTGTTTTTTTAATAATTAAAAAAAATTATAGGCTGACCATCACAACAATGATCATATATAATGGCAAGCCAGGAAAGAATATCACTCACCTTTGGCTGAGCAATCCCAAGACTCTCAAACAACTCAGGATGTTTAATGGGGAGCTCAATGACCTGGTTTTTTTTTTTGACAAAATAGAGAACCATTGTGAAAATTAAAACAGAGCAAACAGTGTTGTCTGGTGATGAGAAGGTTTAAACATACAAAATTAACACACATAAAAAATGAAAAAGATACTGACTTCCTTAATCTCTTTGATTTGCTGATCAAGGCCACCAATCATATCATACGTAGAGTCAGGAACCTTCTCAACCTTCATAAGGTTGACCAAAGGATCCACTTTGCTTGGTAAAACTAAATGAAGAACATAACTATCATTGCGAAGAGCAACTCTGGTAGTTGGAGTAATCTTTGTTATATCAATGCTTTTATCAATATCAACCACATATTTCCCTTCAGGATGGACCTAAACAGCAAACAAAAACCAACAAAGTCAGATGATATGGGTAAATGTGTGTGGGCTTACAAAAAACGGTTTCAAACAGAGGATGGTAACAAATAATAGAAACAACATACTTTCACTAAAACTTTTGATTTCCCCATCACTTTCACAACTTCACCAACATAAGACCCAGGTTCTTGAAGCAGCTGTAATTCTTCCTTCAGCATTCTCACTAAACGAAAGAAAACAGGATGAGCAATGAACATTGGTCAAAACAAAATCTAGAAGTACAAAGCACAATAAGGATTACAAAAATTAGTGTTCATTCACTAACACTATAGTGAAATAGTTCATCTTGATGTAGTTTAAAAATGACATTAGTTCTCACATATAGCAGTGTCAAGTGTCAGGTAATTTTACCAGACAATGGCCACAAATTTTGTGTAAATTTCAAACTTCAAATAACCAAATCTACAAATGCACAATCTGCTGTGGCCTGGTTTGTAATTCATGGTATTGCTTGGTTAGACAGTATAATGTAATTAATTGTAAGTGTAGTGTAGATTTACACGACGCCTGGCTAAAATCGTGCTTACTTCTCCATACCCATCATACAATTCAAGGGGAGAAGTGCATACGAACACAAAGATCACAATTTTAAACGCGCCTTTGAGGCTATTCATCGGTGTATCGACATGACGCTGAATCATGGCTCACGATAAGAGATTCAACAAGTCTAGGGTTACAATTTTTTGAAAATTAGGGGTTTAAATCTGACCTTTAGAATTGAGCTCGTTGCGCTGAGCTTCGAGGCGATTGAGATTGTGGGACTTTTGGCGTACTTGAAGCTGGCAATCGTGGATGTGCTGCATATAGTATTGCCTCAGGCCTTCGCCGCTTTGCTTCATCTGCTTTGCAGAACAGCTCTCCTCTCTCTCCGAATCGGGTCGGACCATCTCCAGATCGATCGCTGCCATTTTCCGATAGCTGATTCCAGAGCTCCGGTGAAAGTCACTCGGCCGGCCAAGATGATGTTTCTGCGGTTGGATAACTGTGGTTGGATTTTAACAGCATACCCCTTCCTTTTCCTTGTGGGGGAGGAAACCTAAAATCCGGAAATTAAGTGTTAAGTGTTGAACCACTGAACCAAAATGTCTGATCAATTCAGATAAAAGGTCTTAACCATTCAGACTCTGTATAATACTTCTCTTAACCATTCAGACATCTGAACCATTAAGAGGCTGAAACAAACAATCTGAACCATTAAGTGCTGAACCAATCAGACATCTGAACCATTAAGAGGCTGAAACAAACAGCCCCTCAGTAGGATACCCATGATTTTTAGAAATTAGCATTTGTGAAGTACTCCAAAATACTCCCTCCGTCATAAAACTATCTTCCCAGTTACGATTTATACGGTCAAACTTAAATCACTTTTTTATCTATTTTTGTTAGTTATTTGATAAAATAATATAATCTTGTCACCTCTTGTTTCGTGAAACTTTTGATGTAGTTTTTAAATATATAAATTTTATTTTTTAATTTTACATCTACAATCAAATAAATTGAATTAAAAATAAAGTCGGCCAAATCTCGTAAAATTTTAAGACGGAGGGAGTAATTTATTAGGCTCGGATGTAGAGTCGACGCGCAATACTGATTGGAAACACCGCCCACCCAGGGTGTGGCCAGCGTCTACATGCCGAGCTCCACGACCTAACATCTTTTTTTTTCTTGTTTTCTTTTTTATCCTTGTATAAATGACGACTAAACCTTGTCGCTTGGTCATCACGCGCATGTTGGATTCGTAACTCGCTAACACGGCTGCCCGCTACTAGGGCTATATGTCATTGTATGGTCATGGCGTAAACCTTCTCGAGAAAGCCGCCATTTGTTTGGGAGAGGTGGGCTGACCTCACGACCGACCGACTCCACGAAGACAAGGGGAGGCCTGGTTGATCGTTCATTTACACCCACGAGAAGTATAACTTCTTTTTAAATTTATTAGTAAACATCATTTAAAATTAAAGTTTTTAAAACAAATATTATACGGCATAATATAAATGCTACGTAATTTTTATGATTTACGGAGTAATTTATTACATATTTTTGTATTCCGTACAATGTTTAAAAAAATACCAATGCTTAGGGAACGCTCATCCAAATTTAACTCCCAAGACACGTAGAGGAATTGACTCAGGGGGTGTATTTAGGGCCTGTTTGGGAATAGCGTTAGAGATTAGCGTTAGCGATTTGAATAAAATTTTAACGGTGCAGGTTACTTTGAAAACGCTAAACGCTGCACGTAGATAGCCTTTTCAAAACGCTAACGCTGTTCCATGTAGAGTTTGTCATAATTTTCTATTGATTTCATAGACTCCATGGATTTCTTTGGAAAATTTGATCTCCATTCTACACTCCTTTAGGTCATCCCTTAGGTCAGTTACGATTCCCACTCGGCGGCCAATACTACTTCCAGACCAGCACTCAATCTTCTCTCTGCGTCAACCCCTGCGAAGTGGCAACAACAACCAACAACCTTTGAGAACTGGCGAAGGCAGTAACAACCGACGCCGCATCGGACCACATACACACAGCCAATTCGACACCGCATCTCTCCTCCTTGGCAGCACCGTCAACATCCAAAGATAGCCGCAGACACACAGCAACCGGCACCAGGTCCGTCACAGTCAACCGGCGCCTGGTCTGTCACGGTCAACACCCAAAGATAGCCGCAGACACACAGCAACCGGCGCCGGGTCCGTCACAGTCAACCGGCGCCTGGTCTGTCATAGTCAATCGGCGAAACACCCCTCCCTCTGCAATCCAGATCTAAGTTATTGCTTTGTCCAAAAGTCCATAAAAAAAGAAGAAGAAGAAGAAGAAGAAGAAGAAGAAGAAGAAGAATAATAATAATAATAATAATAATAATAATAATAATAATAATAATAATAATAATACCATGAACAAAGCCAAGGAGAGGATGTAGAAGACGAAAGGCCATGAAGGCCAGTTGTGGAGTCAGTAAAATCTCTACATTTTTTGTGAGATTTGAACTTGGATTTTAATTTATACCTAACACCCCAAAATCCATCAAAATCCATAATTTCTAAAAATCTTTGAAAGTCTAATAATTTTTGAATACCATTAAATTTAGAAAGATATTTTAAAATCTGAATTGAATATATTCAGATTTTTAAAGACTTTTTAAAATCTGAATTAAATACATCAAGATTTTAACTTAATTTTTAAAATCCGAATTGAATACCCACTGACTTTTAAAATCCAAAAAATACTACAGAATTCAGATTGAATACACCCCCTCATTATGTGTTACTAAATTTCAAAAAGTATGAACATATACTAATTAATAATACTCGGAGTATCCCACTTGAGACACCCAAACATAAATAGGCATACACATACATTAAATATTTGTGTATGCACACACATTGAGTGTATGTGCTATTTGTACCTTGGTGTATACTAGATGTATTCGGAGTGAAGTTCCCTCAACACTTTCCTATATTACATTATAAATTTATAATAGAATCAATAATTTTTTTAAAAAAGACTAAGGTCATATTCTCCTTAATTTATTTTTTATCTAACATTTATTCTTATTGAAATCAAATCATGTGAGATGAGAAACGTATTTAAATGTAACTACATTTGTATCAAATCAAAATTTATTCTAATAAGAACATGAAATATTACAAAGTACTTCGTAATTAGAAGTAAAGGAAAGGGCAAAATTGTCCGCATAACTCCGGCGCCGCTATGAGTACAGAGTACACAGATCTATGGATAGATGAGTTGCCATTCTCTCCCCCGGCTCGATCTCCGGCTATTCGACTGCTTCTTCTTCTCGCCCTTCTCATCTCTCAAATCGGAGCAATTTTCGGGCCAAGATGTCGGGAAAAGGCGCCAAGGGTTTGATCATGGGCAAAACCTCGGCCAGCGCGGCCAAAGATAAAGATAAGGACAAGAAGAAGCCCACCTCTCGCTCATCTCGCGCCGGTCTCCAGGTTTCGAATTCTCGGCTCCGTCTCACTTGTTTCTTTAGATCTTTCGGTTTTTCCTCTTCAATTTGCGGTTTCATTGATCTACGATGCATCTATCTGCTTGAATGTCTTCGTCTGATTTAATGGTTCAGGACCTGAGTTTTTTTGTTTGATTGTTTCATTTTAATCGATAGAACTTTACCATCGGAGTGTAGTGTTAATTTTCTATGTGAGATTTGTTGGGATCTGTTACTGGGTTTTGGGTTATGTGTTTGACTGCTTGTCTCTTCTCATCTGCATGTTATCATTTTGGGTATGTGAAAAAAAGGATTTTGGATGTTGTAGAGTAAGGAAGACCTTGAATTTATATGTGCTTTCGCTTCGTCTGAATTTCAAGCAGCATGGTTTCTCACTTTCTTGTCTGTAGCTTTCTGTATGAAGGCTAATACGGAGTATTTTCTAAGAAAATGATATTTTCAGTTTGTTTTTGTTTTTAGTCTTTATTCTACTAACGTTTCCAAAGAATATTTGTTTTCTTAGACTTACATTGATTGCTCATTTTTCTTTTAGGGAGTGCACATTTTTGAATGTGCTGAAATGGCTGAATGGTTAATTGTTATGGAACATGTGATTGACTGATTGTATTGTATACAAAGTGGTTTTGGGTTCTGTTTTTTATCATGAATTCATTGTAAAGAGTGTTGCATTGATTTTAAAGATTGAAGTAGCATTAACAATTACCATTAAGCATGACCCTCGTTGTTTGTCCCATTGTTAAAAAGAGATCCACCCCACATTTATTAATTTAGTCTTGTGTGACTAGGTTAATACAATATTCATGATAGGAATGATACTGCTTTAGTGCCTTTTTGTTCAAACAATGCTAAATGTGGCCAATCCACCTCACTTTTAGGATCTTATTCACCTGACAAAGAAAATACAGAACCAAAGCTCTACATGGTGTACTCCCCCATGAGACCATCACTTATGTGATAGATCCAAGTAGTGTTGTAATGAGTTAAGATGAAGCATTATCCTTCAAGGGCTATTTTTAATCCAATAACACTCAAGAGATTGGAAATCAACTAACAATTACAAGAAACAAGACAAACACATCTAACACTAATTCGGTTCCCATAAAATTCTTATTGCAATTTGAACCTAGAATATTGTAAATCTTGGCCAAGTACATCAGAAATTATACGTACCGTGCTGGTATTGGATATCTTGTATTGGGATAAAAAGCATGTATTATACGGAGTAAATGTTTCATTGGTAATTTTATAAATATATCTTATGTCATTGAAAATTCTTAATTTACAACTATTGTAAGTATAATTGTGTACAACAAAAATGTACAAATGTCAATGCCACCTGATTACTCACACAACAACAACAACAACAACAACCCAGTTAAATCCCACAAGAGTAGTAGGGTCTGGGGAGGGTGTGTGTACGCAGACCTTGCCCCTACTCGAAAGTAGAGAGGCTGTTTCCAAAGAGACCCCCAACTCAACGTCGAAAGTTGCATTGCTTGACTAACTGATTATTCACACAAATAATGAATTTTCAAGCAATGCAACTTTCGACGTTGAGTCGGGGGTCTCTTTGGAAACAACCTCTCTACTTTTGAGTAGGGGTAAGGTCTGCGTACACACACCCTCCCGAGACCCTACTCTTGTGGGATTTAACTGGGTTGTTGTTGTTGTTGATGTGTTTGGTACAAGATGGGCTAATATATCATTCAACATCAATTCTTTCAAAACATAAAAACTTAGACAAATTATAACAATATGTAAAATTAAATGAAAACATCATGATCTAATACTCCCTCTGATCATAATTTATCTTCTTGCTTTGACCGGGCACGAATGTATAGAGACAATAAGATCTACATTGACTTCCAATAATGTCCCTCCCCACTTTCCCTACCCATAGTTACCCAGTCACCCTCTCTCTTGCTCGATGTTCGTGTATCAAAGAAGAAGCTGGAAAAGAATCAAAACTCTCACCCTCTCTGCTTCTAATCGTTGTCGTCGATGATTGGTCCTCATCCGGTGCCTGGCCTAGCCGGCATCACTGTCCACTCGTTTTGCAAAATCTAATCGTCAATTTGTCTAGCGACTGCCAGCCTGCCACAGTCATCTAGTTTCATTCGTCGCCGCCAGCTCTCGGTGTGCTTGGAGGTTCCAACCGCTGCACTCCCTTTAATTATCTGCATGTCTCAATTGCCGTTCCTCACCGCTATGGTGCTGAATCGGCCACCTAAAATCAGACACCGCCACCGCTGACCATCTATATTTGCCATCGCTACACTTCCAGGGGATCCGCTGTCGTTGCTGCACTTTCAATTCTCGGCTCTGCACTCGAGGGTTTAGGGCAGAATCTCGAGACCGACACCAACGGTCAATCCAAAATCAAATCTAGAGTTGGGGAGATCTGAGACCAAGATCCTTTGAGAGAGGAGGAGGCAGATGATCAAATAACGGGTTAAGATAAGATTGTCGTGGGAGGATTAAGAAGATGGGGGTAGGTGGGAAGAGGGAGAAGTCGGCTTAGATGGGAAGAAGAAGAAATGGCAGAGGTTAAAGATGGGTAGAGGAAATGACGGAAGAAAGAACTTGAGAAGTGAAAGGGTAAATTAGACATTTAGTCCAAAAAAATTGTCAAATAAGGAAATGAGAAGATAATTTGTGGACGGATGAAAAAGAAAAGTGGGAAGATAAAAAATGGACAGAGGGAGTATAATATAATAATCAAAATTTGGTACGATACCAGATCTTTCACTGTACCAGAAAGTAGAAACATGTCGGTACGGATTTTGGCGGTACGTACGATTGAACGAGATAAACAACCTCGGGTAAAACCATTTCAAATAGATCTCCGAGAACTTATTCTCTATCGGATTATTCCTACTTCGCCTATTATTACCTCATTCATTATTGTCTCTCTTATATTGGTTATAACATTTCCATCCTTGCATGCTCATCTTCCCCATTTACATTTTGTGAGCATTTTTGGAGTTCACTTGTCAAAACTCTAAGCTTTACAATGTATTATGTGTATGTATCCTGTTGAACCCCCACTTCAACATAACACATGATTTAGAATTTTGATGCATTCTTCCCCTTTGTTCATTGTACCTTGTTTTTGAGCTCAACATCCAAATAAATTTAATTAGTGGTAAATAAAAATTACCTTATCCTTGTGTCCATATTAAAAGATAAAATGTGTGTAGAAGTTAATGTTTTTTTCTATTAATAATTGGAATGTTGAAAAGATAACAACACTGTTCCAATATAAAAATCGCTAGTCTCGTTTTCTTTTTTAGTTACCCCGTGTCCCCACGATCCCATCATACAATTAAGTTTTCTTTTAAGGGAAGAATTGCATGGTTGACATTCTTTTTGTTTTCAAGACAATTTCACTTTCTTAATAAACGTGTTACTTCCACTATGAAACTTTATAATGGGAAGGAGGGAGTGTTAAACAAGATGAAAAATGATAAAGAAATCTAAAAGACATTATCTTTCTACCCATATTATACTTCATCGATTCTTAAATAAATGCAATATTACAATTTTCACATTTGCCAATGCCTTAAGTAAATCATTAATATTCACAATTATGTTTTAGCAAAAATTATAAAAACCAGTGCTACAAAAGTTTATATCAAAACAAATCTAACAAAATCCCACATGGCTACATTTTTGTTTATGTATTAATCACAGAAGGCAATCAAGTGCGAATAGCGCAAAATCCTCCTTCGTTGGATTTATCTTAAAACAACTAAACTGCTTAAGTACATCGTGAAATACAATAAAACAAAAGAATCCTTATACCCATGTATTATATGAAGGATCTAAGAGAAAGTTGATGACATGGTTGCCTGATTGCCTCTGTCAGGCCCTGCTAGAACTTCTATCTTTTTGCCGTTTTCTCTCTTGAAGACTTTGTTTCTTGAAAAAAAACAAACTAGCCAGCAAGTAGGCATAACCCACTTTCCTTGGGCTGTTATATTTACACTCTCATTTGTAAGAATTACTATATAATAATGCAAAGTTATATTTTTATGAATCAAATGGGATTCAAAACACCTCAAAATTTAAACACTTAAAAAGTGATTCAAAGCATGCATGTTTGGTGAACTAGCACCTCCTTTAAGTCCGAAATCTTTACCTGCAGGCGAAACTCATTTACTAACACGTCATTCATTGTTTCAATTTTTCATCATGGTTCTGCAAGTATCACCACTCACCAGTAATAAACCTTATTTGGTTATTATTTGATAATATCATATCGCGATAGAACATCGCTTGCAATAATGATTGTCATTAAGTAGTTAATGAAGTTTTAAGCTTCTGCCCTGGTAAACAATTCTTGTAATACGTGGTGACAGGCTATGCATTTCTCCCTATATCTACAATTCTGAGCTTTGAAGATGAACTGTTTTATTATTAACTGATGCAAGCAATAATCTGGAAGCTTGGTTCGTAGCTGGCTTTTGCCAAGTTAGCTACGATGATACTTTTGAAGAGTAGTTAGCTTTTCATGAATTGATATGATCTCCAATATATATTTTTTATGTTTGCATTATAAACCAAAGTTGATTTTAACCTATCATTGCACCAGCAACAACCCAGTAAAATCTACAAAAGTAGGGTGGAGGGGGTGTGAGTTTATGCACACCGTACCCCTACTTCCAAGAGACCCACAGCTCAAATACAACTACCTATCATCGCCTTTGTATGAATTACTTGTTAAGTTTTTTTTTTATATTTTAATTTTATTTATTTGGAAAATCTGTTTTTGAGGTTACAGTTTCCCGTTGGACGCATTCACCGGTTGCTGAAAGAGAGAACAACGGCGAATGGAAGAGTGGGAGCGACAGCAGCAGTATACTCTGCAGCCATTCTGGAGTATCTGACAGCAGAAGTGTTGGAGTTGGCAGGCAACGCGAGCAAGGATTTGAAGGTGAAGCGTATCACTCCAAGGCACTTACAGCTGGCAATTCGGGGCGACGAAGAACTAGACACCCTCATCAAAGGAACTATAGCTGGCGGTGGAGTCATCCCTCACATCCACAAGTCACTCATCAACAAGTCTTCCAAGGAATGATTGGGTGATCGCTTACCTGTTTTCTGGTCTTGTTACTTTCTCTGTGTTCTTATCTACTAGGCTCTCTAGTCAGTCTCATTCTTAACTGTATTTGCCAAAATTGCATCTAACTAAGCACAGTCATTCTGGATGTTCATGGATTCTAAGACCCCCCCCCCTAGTGTGGGTGTGTTTCTTTAGACTGCTTTAATGCTGCAATTCTGGTGTTGTCTCATGAGGTGTTCGGTACGAGGCCAACTCTGAGAGTGGAAAGCGGATCCATGGAAACTACTTAATTTCCATGGAGGCAATTTCCTCCCTTCGAGTTGTCACATGAACGGTTCAGATTGATTTGGCGAAGTACTGCCAAATCAATCTGAATCGTCCGAGTAGTAATTCGACAACAGATGTAGTTTATGGGTCTCGGGCGGATTCTCCTCGCCCTTTCATTCTTCATATCCACCTGGGTTTGATTGATATATCATAAATGGAAGTTGGACTCATCAATTCTCACTCCACCTTTCACCCTAATTTTCACAGACATTCACAAATATTCACAAATATTCAACAGTAATGGATACAGTGAGAGAGAGAGTGTCCCTAGCATATATGATCTATAAGAAAATCTCACTTGGTGTAGGGCTGGGTTGGGAAAATTGAAAACCGCAAATCGAACCGAAACGAGTTAGAAAAAAACGAACTGAAAAATCAAAGTTGAATGTAAAAAAAATGAATTAAACCGTTATTGTTTGGTTTCCGTTTTGGTTTTCACTTTGGAAAATTGAATCGAATTGAATAAACCGAACTTTCTTAGGTATTTTGCTTTATATATATGAGTATATGTGATATGAAAACAATAAAAAAAACAATCATAAAAATATAAATACAAATAATTGATTAGTCGATTAAATTTATTTTTCTTAACTATATTAAACATTTTAAACTATATTATAAAAATATAAACATTACTCCGTAATAACTAATCCTAATAAGGCATTATATTAACAATAACAATCGATATGAGTAATTTATATATTTATATAAAAAAAAATTTTTGATGCTATATAGAAATGAAAGTATTATACCAAAAACATAAATGTTCCGTAATTAATATTTAAATATGAAAGCTTAAGGAGTATTTGGAAGCTCTTAGATGTTTGTTAGACACTCGACACATATTTTTTATATAAAATTGAACCGAACTCTAACCTCTCGTTAGAAATTTAATAAAAGTCATAATTCGTTGGATCGACCCGAATCCGATGAAATTTGGTGATTTACATGTGGTTCTCAACCTAAACTCGAACTTAATCGAATCGGGCCTGATCGACCAATTTGCCAGCTTTTATTTTTTGGTGTGGTAACAAGAGTTTCCATTGATTTTTAGAACCAATATTTTTAATCATATCTTTATCTTCACTCGTAAAACAAAAACATAAAGCTGGCCATGAGTGAATGCCAACTTGGTTAAAAATAATCCAAGAAAAGATAATGTTTGACCTTGATTTTTGTTATGAGTAATAGTCATAGCAAAATATAAGACTATTGAGAATTGTCTTGTCTGGAACATTAGGGTAGTCTTACATCAAGTGCTACCAAATTCATTGGGAGTATGTAAACATTTTCCCATTTTCCCCCAACTCGATTTTCTAAAATCATTATTGCACCGATAACATTTTTTCCCTTCAACGATTAATCTTATAACATTACACAATCCAAGTGTTTTGTCAATGTTCCTCAATAACATAATCGATATTTTTTAAAAAACTATTTTGGCCACACAAACCAACAAAAGCCTCAAATACTCCGTATTAGATATAAAGATGAGACGAATTCATTTGTCGGGTTATAAGTAAAATAAATTTTTTCCTCACAAAAAATTTCCCCAAATTTAAAAGTGAAATATGTATTATTAGAATTTATTTAGAAAAATGAGAAATAATATCAATTTTATATTTTTTGAAAAAAATAAGTAAAGTGTAAATTTATATATTTATTTCTATATAAAAGAGAATAAACCAATTACAAATTTGTTGATTAACTGTTTAATAAGAAAGGAGGTACAAAATTATTGACATACTTACGAAAATCGTAAAATTTTAACTGTGAAATTAGATGAATAAAGCATTAAAAGGTCAAAAATGTCTCATTAAAATTAATTTACGAAAAATAAAATAAAATCAATCATATATATTTTTATCTAAAAAATACGAGTAAGTAAATTATGAAATTTATAAGTTTATTTCGATATAGAAGAGAATAAACCAACAACTAGAGGTGCAAAAAATTCTTAATAACAAGTGAGCAAAGTGTGGATGGGAATCGAACTAGAGACCAACTTGTAGAGCTTGAACACGTACTAATGTATGTCTACAAATATGGATCCAATGTCTGAATGTCTATGAGAAAGTGAAGTGTGACCATTTGTTTTCAATAGCATTGAAGCGTTTGTAAGTTGAAGGGTAGGCATGTGAGGGCAAAAAAGTCCAAACCTTTTGGCCTCCAAATAAACCCTTAACCCTTTCCTTTTAGTGGGAACTGTAATGTTCTTCTATTTAAGGTGTCATCTTAGGATTTCAACTGAACTACAACCTGGCAATTTCCTAACCTGTAAAGCCTTCATATTGTCTCTAACCTTCCACACATCCTCCCATCTATCAGCAGAGGCATACATGTTCGCCAGCAGCGTGTGGGTACTCGACTCGCTCGATTCATCAACCGCGGTCGCAAGCTTCACAACCCGTTCACCCATTTCGACATCCCCGTGGATTCTGCAAGCACTGAGCAAGGAACCATAGATTGTAACCACAACATCTCTATCTTCATCTTTCCTGATTCCGCGCATCATCTCCTCTGCTTCATTCAATAGCCCTGCACGTAAAGTTGTAAATGAAATGAATAATTTTAACTCGATTCCTCATTCGTATTCTAATACAAGGACTCAAATTCGAGTTTCATCTCAATGTTAAATGAATGCAAGTACAAATACAAAAGTATTTGAGTGTATACATATAGTTCATATTCGGTTCATATTCGATTTTCAATTTGAATTCAAAAAAGTTAAACATGTATAGTTCAGATATTGTAGTATTCGATTTGATTCGTTTTACGACCCTACCTGCACGCCCCAGAAGGTCTACCAAGCAACCATAGTGTTCCACCTTGGGTTCCACACCATATTTCCTCACCATTGTGTCGAAATACCCGCGGCCTTCCTCTACTAATCCACCGTGACTGCACGCCGTGAGGACGCCGATGAAGGTGATGCCGTCCGGGATGATTCCGGAACGTTCCATTTGCGAAAACAGTTCCAGAGCCTTCTTCGTATGCCCGTTCATCGCAAAGGCGCAGATGATGGATGTCCAGGAATGCGGGTCCCTCTCTTTTAACTCGTCAAAGACTTCCAGAGACTTGTCGAGGGACCCACATTTCGCATACATCTCCATGAGGGCGGTCCCCACGACCGCGTCGATTCTTATCCCGTTTTGAACCATGTAATTACGGATTTTCCCCCCTTGGTCCAGTGCTCCTGCCTGAGCACACCCTTTGAGTAGAGAAACCAGTGTGTACTTGTCAGGCTTGATTCCCTGCTCCTGCATTTCCTGGAAAAGAGAAATGGCTTCTTCGAAACGGTTGAACTGGACAAAACCATTGATCATAGCAGTCCATAAAACCAGATCCTTCTCTGGGCTCTTCAAAAACAGATTCTTAGATTCTTCAAGCTGACCAAAACTGGCGTACCCTGAAACCATGCTTGTCCAGGACATGACATTTCTTTTCGGCATTGAATCAAATATTTGTCTAGCTGTCTTTAAACGACCACACTTACAGTACATTTCCAGTAAAGAATTATCAATCTTGATTGTATGCCCAAGATCTTTGTTAACATACTGATGAATTTCTTCTCCAAGATCCAATTTTTTGAGTGCAGCACAAGCAGTTAAGGTGCTAACAACTGTGGCTTCTTCGGGTATAAATCTTCCCTCTCTTAACATCATCTTATAGACATTAATGGCTTCTTGGAACCTGCTGCATCTAACGTATCCGGCAATTGAAACATTCCAGGAGACTGAATCTCGGTTTGGCATTTCGTCGAACACTTTCTGTGCACACTCCACAGAACCCAATTCGCCATACATGTCCATTACTGAGTTTGACACGTAGCAATCAAGCCCAACTCCGGTCTTCAACACAACCCCGTGAATCCTTTGGCCTTCGGGAAGTTCATTCAATCCACAAATGGACTTGAAGACGAAGGGGTAGGTGAAACCATCCGGAGACATCCCACGCCATCTGAGCTCTTCGAACAAGAAAATGGCGTCCCTGAACTGACCCGATTTTGCGTGCGCCTTGATCATCACATTGTAGATGAATAGGGTCGGGTTCTCGATGCGATCGAAGATTCTCCCGGCGTGGCCGAGTTCCCCGACGAGAGGGTCGGCGGCGACTGCCATGAGCTTGTGGAGGGTGTCGACGTGCCGGTGGATGCCGAGGGAGAAGAGCAAGGCCTGGATTTGCTTCAGCTGGGCCATGGATTTGCAGGCCTTCAGGAGATCTATGCATGTCTTCTTGGTGACGGCGGCCGCCGCGTGCGGAGGAGCCCTGCCGGTTGAGAAACAACATCGTTTTGCAGTGATTTGGCGGGAAACGAGCCGCCGTGTGAGGCCGATATGGGCCAAAATAGTTTCCATGCTTCCATCGAAGCAATTGGGGCCAAAATCACAAACGCCTAAAGTTCAGAGTTGTACCAACTACCAAATGAGGAATTGATCTCTACGTTTTTTTTGGAAAATGTCAAATAAAAAAATATCAACAGTTAGGTTCCGTGGCCACTGGAATCCCGCAGTCACGGAAGCCACTGCCCCTACGGAGCACTGTTTATAAAATATCAACAGTTAGGTTCCGTGGCCACTGGAATCTTGAGCCACGGAAGCCACTGCCCCTACGGAGCACCGAATTCCGACCCCAACTCATCCCCCACCTACGTTAATTGTACTTCTAAGTATAATTGACTTTAAAGTCAAAAGTTTTGACTTTTAAGTCAATTATACTTACAAGGTGCAATTGACGTAGGTGAGGGATGAGTTAGGGCCGGGACTCAGCATGGGGCTTATCAGGGGAGTAGAATCATCAATTTTACGAACGGAGTTTCGTAGCGGGACAGTGGCTTACGGAACCGCGCCGAAATATCAAACTAAAAAAACAAGGCAAAAAAACAGAACCATACTCAACTGAATAATTGGTAAGAAATTTGAGAACGGTAAAAACTAATTTCTCATATCGAAAATTCTGAATCGAACATATATACCATGTAGTACAAAGTACGGAGTAATATACTATTATAAAAATATTAATCCATTTTATCTTGTAATTTGTCCACTTCCATTTTTACACACCATCCAATGCACTTCTTGAATCCATTTTATCTTGTAATTTGTATATTAGAAAATTATAAAAATTATATATTAATAATCTATATGTTAAGACAAATCAAACAAGATCACACATGAATATATTTAGACTTACACATTGAGAGAATTTGATGAGTCAAAGTGCTTAGATGAACAGTTCCAAAAGTCAAAAGTGAACAAAAACTGGGGGACGAATGAGTATCAAAGAAAGGAACAAATGCAAAAGGCCAAGAAGCATATATTTTCAGTTATCAAACATTATTCAAACAAAAAGAATGACGTGACAAAAGAGCAGATTGCAACATGAGAAATTTACCTAAATAGGACTAAAACATAATGACTTTCCCAATATAGGACCATATGTTTTTATTTCCCAATGTAGGACCTTTGGTCATTATCAAGTAGTCATTATTCAATTAAATGTCCATCATTACTGGACATTATTCCTTTCACTAGGTCATTAATTAGTCCTATTTGAGGAATAAAAAAGTTTAAGTCCTACATTAGGAAAGTCATTATGTTTTAGTCCTATTTATTACAAATTTCACTTGCAACATTTCCATATCCCAACCAGTTCTATTCGTATCCCCCCAAAACAACATTCAAACAATTAATAATCTTTTCCCTGCATGCAGTGCAGCTACAATACATTGCACAACTTTCATTTAAAAAAAATGAAAATAAAAATAAAAAATCAAAGCAAAGTTTGAATTTCAATACACCCATTAATTCATCTCCATCATCCTACGGCGTAACGCCGCCGGATCCTCTCGAGGGATCGTCCGACGACGGGTGGGTCCCGTGGTCGCTCTCCCTCTTATGAATCTTCTCGATCGACTGGACGACTTCAGACATTTTCGGTCTTTGCGCAGGCGCGACGGGGACGCACGCCATTGCGATTTGGAGCAATTCGACCATCTCTTGCTCCACGTTTTGTTGCTTAATCAACTCGACATCGAACACCTCGGCGGTCCACTCCTCTCTGACGACACTCTGGACCCACCGGGGCAAGTCTACGCCCTCTTCACTCAGTGAAGCATGGGACGGAGATTTGCCCGTGAGTAGCTCCAGCAACAGAACCCCAAAGCTGTACACGTCAGACTCGGCCGTGACTTTTCCGGTTTCGACCGCCTCGGGGGCGCGGTACCCCGAGGCCCGGTTGGCCGGAGTTGACCCGGTGGAAAAGAGAGAGTTCAATGCGTAGTCGGATATCCGGACGCCGTCGAGGCTATCTTGCTTGAGGAGCACGTTGGACGCCTTGACATTGCCGTGGACGACGCGTTCCCCGTGTAAGTACGCAATGCCTCTCGCCGCGCTTAGCGCTATACGGACCCGGCTTTCCCAAACAAGGGGTGCAAGTCCTGACCCTCTACTACCTACAAAAGAAGCATTTTTCTTGATCAAAATCCAACCACAATACTACTTCAACTCCAAAGGTGACACCAAGGTATTGACACCAAAGACGACAATCATTGTCGGGGTAACACTGACGTTGTCATCCGTGGTGTGAGAGTACCAAAATAGAATCATAAGAGTCTTAAATTGAAAGATCTTGGAGCTCAAATAAAGAGTTCATCAATTTGAGCAATTAAAAAATTATATTGAGACAAAAAAAAAGACTTGAAGTGTTAAAAAAAGTGTAACAATTGGATTTACTTTGTCCAAATAAGGTTAGCTTTGCCTTTTTTTTAACCGGAAAAGAAGAGAAAGGTAATTGGAAGGTGAGATTGCTTGCATTTAAAGTTTAAAAAAAAAGTGTAACAGCTGGATTTTGCAGGACAGCAAAAAAAAGCAAAAGGCCAAAACTTTAGACAAAGAAAAGCACAAAATATGTCTCCCTAATCTTTTACTTTTACTCTCATCATTAGTATGGAAATCATGGCCCTAAGTAATCATTGTGCTTTTCCTCTAAACAAAACTTGTCACACAATCAATGCATCAATATATGTTCAATGTACACACACACAAAGAGAATATAATGTTTATTAGTAATTAATGTTTTTAAGTTTAAACAACACAAAAATTGTCAAGATTCTAACTTAATTAAAAACTTAAGCATGTACTTGTAGGTCTAGTAAATGTTTTATATTCTAACATAAAGTTCTTTTACATACACACGAGATTTGTTTTTGTTCGAGTCTTGCACGTGAATATTATTTTTTTAAAATTGAATGACGGTGAGATTTGAATGTGTGACTTCAAAAATAATAAGACTCTGATACCGCATTAAGAAACAAATTCAAGTAAACGTAAAGTCAAACTTGTGGTTGTAGGTTAAGAAAAATTTTTATACTCGTATTTTAAAAAAATTAGTTTGTACTCCCTCCGTCCCTGAGTGTTTGTCCACTTTCATTTTTGCACACCATCCAATGCACTTCTTTAATCCATTTTATCTTGTAATTTTTATATTAAAAAATTATAAAAATTATATATTAATAATCTATATGTTAAGACGAATCAAACAAGATCACACATGACTATTTTTAGGCTTACACATTGAGAGAATTTGATAAGTCAAAGTGCTTAGATGAACAGTTCCAAAAGTCAAAAGTGGACAAACACTCAGGGACGGACCAAGTATGAGATAATTGAAAAGAGTGTCTTAAACTCTTAATAACTTTTAGAATTGAATGTTAGTCATACATCCCCATACTACACAACTTTTAGAGCCTGTTTCACACAACAAATTAAACCACTAAAAAACAAAACATGAGGTTTGACATAATGACATTAAAATTATAAGTAAAATGTGCATTAAATAGTACTCCCTCCGTCCCAAAATATTTACAACATTTGCTTTTTCGGCAGTCGCGGGAACATTTGTTTATTTCTACGTTTTCATTAGCTATTTGATAAAATAAAATATTCTTGACACCTCTTATTTCGAAGAACTTTTCATGTAGTTTTTTGATATGTAAATTTTATTTTTTATTTCTATACCAATATGTAAATAAAATGAATTGAAAAAACTTGATATTTTACCTCGAGAATATAAGTGTGGCAAATATTTAGGGACGAAGGGAGTATTAAAATATATGTCATTTTCAGAAAAAAATATATGTCATTTTCAGATATATTATTTAGAGAATAAAAAAGTTTAAGTATTACAATGAGAAATGACATATGTTTTAATACTATTTAGTGCAAATTTTACTTTAATTTTCCAATGTAGTACTACTGTTCAATGTCTACTGAATATTGTTCAAGTAAATATATATCCACTGCCACTGAACATTGTTCAAAGTCAATGTTCACTGCCAATGGACATTATTCTCGTCATTGGATACTATTCAGGTATTATTTACGGAATAAAGAATTTTAGCTACTACATTGAAAAAAAACATTTGTTTTAATACGAGTACTATTTTATTCAAATTTTTGAAAAACAATCATACTCCATAGTCCATACATTATATAAAGAAATATTTGCACTAAATTTGTTAAAACTAAACCTACGCATGTTTGGTTAGGTGTTTCATTTTTTTATGCACAAAAGTGCTGTTTATTTATTCATTTAAAAATCCATCTAAACCAATATTGTACGTACACTTGAGTTAGTATAGAGCAAAAAAGAATTTCACCATATTTGTCCCTAACTTGTCTTCACATTATTATCTCAACAAAATTTGACTAAATTTATTTTTAATTCAATTTATTTAAATAATGTTACAAAATTTAAAAAATCAATATTAAGTACGGAGTATAATAAAAAACTTCATCAAATTCATTATAAAACAAAAGATGACTAGCTACTTCGTATCAAATTCATTATAAAACAAAAGATGACTATGTGAGATATTAATTCAGGATAATAGGAACAAATTAAAGTAATAATAATATCATAATGGATCTTTTGACATTGATAATTTTGACATTAAAATAACACAGTGTATTTTGATGCTTTGTTGATAAAATTGATGATTTTACTCATTTACTATTCCAAAACTCTCCTTGTCGTGCATCCCATGCACCCTCACCACTATTTCCCCATTGATCACCTATTTGGCATATCAATGGGGTGAAACATGGGGGCTTGATACAGGAGAGTTTTGGGGAAGAAGATTAGAGAATAGAAATCAATAATTTTACCAGCAAAGTACGATAAATATCTCTTGTTATTTTAATATCAAAATTATCAATGTCAAAAGATTCTACCTGTGATAATATACTCCCTCCACCCCAAAAAATGTCACATTAATTACTAAAACGATCCAAACTATCATGTTTTTTCAATTCATTTTATTTAAAGACAGATATAGAAATAAAAAATAAAATTTACATATTTAAAATTACATCTAAATCTCTACAAAATAGGATAACAAAATATTTTATTTTTTCAAATAATTATAAAAAGTAACATTTAAATTTTTTTATAATTTTTAAATAGCGAAGTATGTTATTTTTTTCTGGGAAAAGAGATAAGAGCAATAATAATGGAGGAACATATGGAGTACCTGTGACGAAACTCGAAAAAGTGTTTGTACTCTCTTTCAACTCACAACTCACAATGCCCAAAGTAGGGTCACATTTTTTATACAGATGTGATGTGATTTTTGGGCTTATTCTAAGTTAAATTTTAGGTGACTTATATTTTAGGAATCATGACTTTTCTTAATAAGTACATTAGCATCCTTCATAATGTCCGTTATAATAATATACATTAATCTTTTTAGTTAATTTTCTAAGAGTAATGCTAGAGTCACAAACAAACAGCTCACAAAATTCACAAACCTGCCTTTTTAACACTTTTCTAATATGAGATGGTTCATGCATTTTCATACGGAGTATAAAACCGATTAAGGCTCGTGGTAAAAACACTTGTGCTGTTACTATTGTAACTTTGAGATTTAATACACTAACTAAAAAAACTATTAAAAATAATATAATACATTTATTTCAACATATTCATCTAGTTTAATTTTTTGGGTCAAACTAGGAGTTTGGATCTCAATTAAATAAAAATTATAATGCATGTTATTACGAGTATAAAAATAGATTACATTAGATTTATCTTGTTGAGAAACCTTAACCATCAAACTTAATTTGTGATTCAAACTTAGTACAAATTAGTAATTTGTAAATCAAATAAACACGATTAGAGTACGACGTGATTTCGAACGGAGGGAGTGGTAAACAATATTTTCTCTCATTCCATATTTAAGCTCGGGGACATAGCTCAGATGGTCGGGAAAATGTGCAAAGATATTAACACCCCGTTTCAACTCCTCACAACGGTGATAAAGTATAATCACGCTCTGGAGTTATTGCACGTATCACAGACATACCACACTACCTATCGACCGATCGAAAATTGTAACTTACGATTTCAAAGTATGAAATTAGATTCGTTTAAAGTTCCTAAAGTACTCGATTCAATTCTTACGTGATTCCTAACCTCTAACACCCTAACACGTTTACAATGGTGGGGATAGGAACGGGCTAAAAGGGGAAAGTGATCGGTCGGGGTGGTTTGAAGGTAGAAACCAATCAATCACCACGATGAGACTTGGGTGGAGGGGTTGACAATAAGGAGAATTTACTTAAATAACATTAAAACATAATGCCTTTTCTTAAATAGTATCAAATGTGTTTTTTTCTCAATGTAGTTATTTTAGTCATTATCTATTAATCATTATTCAAGTAAATATTCGCCATCAATTGACATTATTCTTTCTTTTGGACATTATTAAGTGTTATTTAGAGAATAAAACAGTTTAAGTGTTATTTAAAGAAATTTTTATTTAATGCAAATATGTCTAACAATAATTAAATGAATAAAAAAATTAGGAATAAAAAACAGAGTTTAGAGAATGAGAAAGATACCGTGAAGAAGAGCAGACAAGCTGCCGGCGGGCATATAATCGGAGACTAAAAGCTTTTCATCTCTGGAATAGTAATAAGCCCTCACCGGAAGCACATTTTCGTTCACCAATTTCCCAATTACTTGCATTTGCTCGTCGAATTTCCCCTTCTCCGCCGCCACATCCTTCAGCCGCTTCACCACCACCGTCGTCCCCTCCTCCATCACCGCCTTGTAACTCGTCCCCACGCTCCCTTTCCCCAGCACCTCCGCCGACGCCCTCAGCAAGTGCTCCAGGTCGAAACTGTACCCCCCTCCGCCGGCGCCGGCGCCCAGGAACACCAGCTTGTTTCTCTCACCTCCGACCGACCCTCCGGTCAGGTCGTCCTTTGACGACGACGTGCCTGCCTCCGCGCCCTGTCTTACCGGAGCTGCAATCGCGGTCGTCTCGGTCATGTTTGAGGCCTTGGGCTGAGTTTTCTTTCTTAGACAGAGGAAGATAATTAGTAATAGGAGTAGAAGGCCGGCCACCGCGCCGGCTATAATTCCGGCGATGGCGGCGGTTGAGAGTTTCTTGGAGCTCTTGTGGGAAGGTGAATGGGATGTGGCAGGGGCAGGGACAGGGGCAGGGGGAGAGGAGTTGTCTTTGCACGGCGGCAGTGGGCGGCCGCAGAGATTGACGTTCCCGGCGAAAGAAGACGCCGGGAATTTAGACAGGGTGCTTGGAATCTGCCCATTCAGGCGATTTTTGGAGACATTGAAATCTGAGAGCCCGGGGAGGTTCAAGCTGGGGATTTTCCCTGTGAACCCATTGTTCTGCAAGTAGAGTCTGTTCAAACCGGAGAGATTGTTGACTCCCGCCGGGATCTCACCGGAGAAATTGTTGGAAGAGAGGTCGAGCCGGATCAACCGGGTCGAGTTTGCGAGACCCGCCGGGAACCCGCCTGAAAACCGGTTGTCCTGGAGAAAAAGGTTGCGAAGATTCACGAGTCTCGAGAAGTCCGCAGGGATCGGACCGGTGAGCCGATTCGACCGGAGACTGAGCACTCGGAGCTGACTCAGTCTCCCCAAAGTGTCCGCCGGAATATTCCCCAACAACCCGACGGCGGGCAGCCGGAGGGACACAACGGACGACCGGCCGGCGTCGCATACGACGCCGACCCACGAGCACGCCGAGGAGGAGGCGTTCCACTGCAGGCGATTGCTGTGTGGGGTCTTCGACAAGAAATCTAGGAGAGCCTGTCTGTCCTGAGTCGGCTCCGAGCCGACTCGGGAGCTACTGAGTTGAAACGCCAGCAATGCGAAAGCCAGGACCAGTCCAGCGTGTATAACGCTCGCCATTTGTTCTCCCATTCGTTGAAAATCAGAAATGTAATTAGTGAGTCAGAAGGCCGAGTCTCGCGCGAGTTGCCATTAGAGAAGGGGCAACTTCCAGGGAGAGCCGGAGAAAGGAAACTCAGTTGGCCTTGATATACTCTGTAGAAAGTAAAAGGAAGAGTGGCCCCTTTTTTTATTCATGAATTACTATTACCTCTATCAAAATAATTGTGATTTCTTATTTAAGGCTAAATAAGTTATCACACATTAGACCTGTGCAAACAAAGGTCGGCCCGTCTGGCCCTCCCAACCCGTCCTTTAAAATGGGTGGATATGGACAATATTTAATACCCACATGGGCGGGCCGGCCCAAGTCCGAATTGTATTTGGGCGGATCTGGAAGTTACTTTTAGCACATCCGTGCCAACATGCCTGCCCATATTCATTAAATACATTTACTTTATTATTAATTACCTAGACAATATAAATTTTAAAATTTTCTTTAATTCATGTATAATAGTTCATATCACTCACCCCTCTTAAACAAAAAACAATAATCTTTTAATGAATCTGTATGATGGATTTATTAATTATGTAACAATATTTCTATTATGTTTTCTATGTAAATATGGCGAGTGGTAATTTTATTTTAAACATTTGAAAACGAGTTCAATATTTTCTTTTTGATTTTTTTGTGTAAAAAAGATTTTCTTGATGTTTTATCCGGGCCGAGTGGTCCGGTGGGTAGTTCGGCCCGCTAAGGTGGGTGGGTATGGGTAGAGAGCTTAGCCCATCAAATCCGGGCCGGGCCAAGCCCGCATATGCAAATGGGCTAATAATTTGTATCAAGCCCGGCCCAAATCCGGCCCAGATCCTTATTTGCACACGTCTATCACACATCCATCATATGGAGTTCGATCAAATTTGACCTATTCTTAGTCAATTATTGAGTAAATTCTTAAGATAATGAAATGTTTTCTCTAAGTCAATCTTCAATAAATTCTAAGTATATGCATGATACATTATAATTAAAATTCATTCTCTAGACAGTCATTCATAAAAAAAAATTCACTTCAATGTCGGTTAAGTGAAAATTATTTTAGTACTTTTCATCATCCAAACTTGAAGTAAGTTGCCAAAATGATCATTTCAAATGACGTGTTTTTCTAAAACGGTCTTTTCTAATTAAGGTGATATATTTAATTCAAATTTTAATATATTTTCACAGATTTTAATAATTGTTGAATTATGTATAATTAATGATTGTTTAAATTTTACATGAAACTGCATAAAAATAATCATTTTGAGAAATCCCATGAAAGCGGGGTCTAGGATGGTTGGTGTATGCAGACATTATTCCTATTTGAAAGTAGAGATACTCTTTCTAAGAGATCCCCAACTCGGGCAAAGAATAGAAGCACAGAGCTCAAGAGAAAGGGCAAGCTAATAGTAGAAACAACAGAACACCAGAGATAAAACAAAGAAAGAAGAAAAGTCACGGTGCAAGAAAAGTGCACAACAATAAGAGCAAAGGGCTAACTATTTTTTTTACAAAGAGTACTTACGAAATAAATTTCAATTTAAAGTATCATGTCGATGATTATAATTTCTCGAGGACTAATTTGGGAAAACACTCCATTAGAAAAGATCATTTTGAAAATTTACTCTAAATTATTTTCGAGTTCAGTCAATAAAATCTATGTTCCAAATTTGTCTCTTACGTTTCAAGTCTCGAATCAGAAAAAATCGAATCACCTCTTACCAAATTTAATTATGAGATACTCCGTATTTCTTTCAAGTTAAGTATTTCTCTTTTTTACATGACTCATTTGTCGGAATGCATGAGTTCAACCCTTTCTGTGTTGTTAAGTGTTGACTCACAGGTTTTGATAATTGACAAACACACTTTATTCAAGTCAAGATCAAAGTGCTACAACGACACACACGAAGACTTGAAGTTCCATTCCTTCAAGTATTCAAGAAGGTGCACATGATTTTATTGGAGTCCGAGACGCGTTCGGAGCGCCTAACAGAGGACTCGGAGGAGTAGAAGATTTCCGAAGACTTTTGATTTATTTTGAGTCGTAGGAATAATTGTAAGGATGACAAAAATATCTTCTCTCCAAAATTATTTTTATGAGTGTTAAAATAAAAATTATATTTATTTTTGGAGTCAGTTGAAAAATCGATTTAACTGTTCAAAATAGTTTTATTGAGTCAGTTACAAAAGGTGTGTCAAACATTTATCAAATATTTATTTTGATATTATAAAATATTTTTGGTAAGCAAAAATATTTTATTCAAATATTTTTTGTGTACATCGTTTGACACACAAAATAATTTTTGGACTCACTTTTACTCCCTTACTCAAATTCTTTGAATATAGAGGAGGAACGCTCTTATTAATCGATTAACAGTCTTAAACTAATCAATTAGATCCAATTCCTTTGCGCTGGATTTCTCAGGCCTTTAGTTTAATCGATTTTTATTCGTCCTTTAATCGATTAGTGCTCACAGCGCCATCTAATCGATTTTCCTATCTAGTTTAATCGATTAATTTGCACCATTCGCTGAAGACCTTTTGTGCACAGACTGCATTAATCGATTACTGACAATGCATTAATCGATTTTTATGCTGCATTTTTCATCACAGCTTCTTTTCTTGGACCAAAGGATATATTTCTTCAACTCCTATTTAAACACACTTCCTTGGTCATTTTTTATAACAAGAAATACTCCAATACTCCCCATTCTTGAGCTGTTAATCATCCATCAATCTTTCCTCAAATTTACATTATTTTGAGAGAAAACTATTTGTTTTTAAGAGAGGTTTCTTGTCATCCATTAGAGCAAAACATTTCTCATTCCTACTCTTTTGAGAGATATTGTTGAGAGGTTGAAGAAGATTGTTCTTCTTGTTGTTCAAGACTTATGTGACTTAAGTCTTGGTTGTGAAGTCTTATAAAGGGTATATATACGAGCGGTTGTGTTGAGGCTTGTGGGATTCAAGTTCGCGAGTTGTAAATGGTTTGTTAAGCACCCGTAAGCTTAACGAAAGTAGTGGTAGCTTCGAGAGAGTCTCTCGGGGAACTGGACTAGCCACGAGGTGATGAACCAGTATACATCGGTGTGTTCTTTGCCTTCTCTTTTTTATTTCTGCTGCACTTACGTTTATATTATTAATCCTGTGAAAATCGGTAAACATTCTCAACAACTCTATTCACCCCCCTCTAGAGTTGCACGCCTTATCTAACATCATTTACTATCCTTATTATCAAATTGTCACTTCTTTCTTCGTCAATTTCTATTACTTGTTTGATATAATAATATAGTTATTTAAAATTTTTAAATTTAGAGTCAAAATATTTGACTCAAATATCAACTAAATTTGAGTAACGTAATTAACGTGAGCAATGTGAAATCTTTTACAAAGTTAGGCTATTTTCATAAGACTCTATTCTAGCGTTGCGCAGTTGGCAATGCAAGGGGTGCCAAGGGGGTAACATTCGAGTTCGATTTCTGGCAACTATGCTGGGAGACAATTATGTTAAGCATAGGCCTCTGCAAGTACCAGATGCAGACTCCACTCTTTGCCACCAATCTGCAATTAATTCTAATTTATCTCCTCTCAATGACCGCCCGGCTGGGTCTGAGGGAGCCCTCAGGGATGAGGCTCATCCTTTTTTATTCTACTCACATACGTAGTACTTTACGTGCATTTTTTGTATAAAAGCTAATTTTAATTTTGGCAATGACAATGCAAACTTCTATTTTGGTATTTAAAAAGTAAGTACTCTTATTTTGCTATTTTTATACATTTTTCTCTTACTTAGAGAGTTCTCCCACACGAAAATTCTAAAATTAGAGTGCAAAATCTTTTAATACAAATATAAGTTGATAATGTCATTAATACATTGACACATTTACTACACTATCAAACTGCCTCCGCCCCTATTGCCATTCGCCTTTGCCAGCCACCAAAGTGTCGTCCTCGGTCACAAACGTTGACCTGTGATCCATTGACAATTGATTGATCGCACTATCATATTACATTTTTATCACTTTTTTCATCATATTGTCGTCGCTCTTGCATCACACATTATCTTCTTATTATAAAGGGCCAATTATAAAATTCACTTTAAATTCTATCTATGGAGTTTTTCTCCTAACCTGCTGCTACCAACCATTACTCTCTAATACTCCTAGTAAAAAAAGGAAGTTGAAAGGTTGTGCAATTTATCTTTTTTAGCACTAATTAGTTGTATGTGTACCGATAGTTATGTTTATAGTATGGATTGAACATGTGATCTCTTATATGGAAGAGTCATCTTGGCGCAATTTATCATTTATTGCTTTTGGTGATAATAAAGTTGAAAAAAATACTTGGAAAACTCTATTTCGGTACACTTGCATGTATATACATTTAGTATCGATGTGTATCTATTTTTTGTCTTGGCATACAAATGAGGTTCTCTCCTAACTTCCCGCAATAAAGTAAGAGAGAATAAGTCTCTGTTGGCATCGATGCTATTGGTGTTGAAACATGACGACACTGATTTCATTGGGACACCTTTGGTGTCGATAGTTTCAGCCCTCATAAACTCGTACCATTGTCCATTCTCAACCCTCTCCTCTCCCCCTTTCCTGCACTTCGCTAGCAGTATACTGCTGGGGAGGGGGGAGCAATAATAGAGATTGAATATTCCAATTAAATTGATGTAACAGTTAGTGTCATAAATTAAAGTAATCCATATAAATTAGATGTATAATAAACTAATTAAGAATAAAGATATGTGTGTTTAATGCTTTTTCTTATTTATTGCCCTTCACCTTTTCTTTTCCAAATTGTCTCTTCCCTCGTACTCTTAGCTGGTAGGGAGGACACCAATTTCTTTCATTCAATTACTTGCCAAGTGAAAATTCCGTTTTGATTGTCTATGCTTTTACTTTTTTGTTTATCTTCTTCTTTTACGGCTCAATGCTTTGCTTTTCCCGTTGATTGCTGGCTTTGTTTTTAAGATTCGAAAAACAGATTTGAATATTAGAAATTAGAATGATTCTTCCCTTTCTGAAAACACTAGAGGTTTTGATTTTTATGAGATGTAAGAGAAGCGTATTTTGA